AGTTTCAGCATTTGTAAAATGACAGAAATGAGGGTTCCCCCCCCCCCGTCACTCATGATAAATGATAAATGCCTTTTCTTTTTTTGTCTTTATGAGACGGGGGTCTCACTATGCAGCTCAGGCTGACCTTGAGCTCACTTTGTAGTCCAGGCTGGTCTCACTCCCAGTGATCCTCCCACCTCAGCCTCCCGAGTGCTGGGATGACAGGTGTGAGCCACCACACCCGGCTCTTCTTTTTTTTTTTTTTTTTTTTTTTTTTTGAGACAGTGTCTTGAGACACAGCCCAGGCTGGCCTCACACTCACAGCAGTCCTCCTGCCTCAGCCTCCTCAGTGCTGGGGTGGCAGGTGTGTGCCACCACACCAGGCGGAATGCCTTTTAACGCTGCGGCCAGTGCTTGGCTCAGCAAGTCTCTCTGTTGTGAATTCTGATAATGAGTGTTTGGCAAAGAATGACCAGGTCTATGTGGTTTTTTTTTTTTTTTTTTTCCCTGTTTGGGGTGTGTGTGTGTGTGTGTACGCATATGTGCGTTTTGTTTTTCAGTGTAGGGAGTGAACCCAGGGCCTTTGCACTGAGCTTCGTCCCCAGCTCTTTTCATTTTTTATGTGTTTATTTTGAGACAAGGTCTCACTAAGTCATTATGTTTCCCAGGCTGGGCTTAAACTAGAGATCCTCCGGTCTCAGCCTCCCGGTGCACCGTCACACCCCACCATCGCTTGTGCTCTTAACCTGCGAAGTCCGGGCTCTTCAAAGCTGTGGGCGACTTGGCCTTAATCCGCGACGCTCTCGGCTGGCTCTGCTCACGGCTGGTACCGATTCAGTGATACCGCCTTGTCTCCTTCCACTGCTGCTCGACCGACTATCTGGAACTCCGCCCCGAGGAAATGGCAGCCGGGTTCTGCACCGCGGACCTCGAAGCCACGCCGCTTGGCTTTGCGTTCCGATGCTGCTGCCCATTAGCTGTGTGACCTTTGCAAGTTACTTACTCTTTCTGGGTCTCTTTGCCCGAGATAAGCAGACTTCGCCCGGCCTTGATTCCTTCTTCTGGTAAATCAGGGAGCCAGCCCCTCCCCCAGAAGCTTGGCCCCTCTGTGAACTGCGCATGCGCCCAACCAACCCACCTCCCCGCATGGACGGGTGGGGCAGGGGGGCCTTTGACTCAAACCCAACGCCCCCACACTCCATGCATGGAAACACTGGCTTCCACATATCTGGGCATAGGCACGCCTGTCATCCCATCACTTAGGGAGGCTGAGGCAGGAGGATCATGAGTTGGAGCCCAGCCCAGTGAACTTAGCAAGACCCTGTCTCAAAATACAAGCGCGGACGGGGCCAGGGATGCAGCTCAGTGCAAAGGCCCCAGGTTCGAGCTCCAGTAAGGGGATGGGGTGGGGGAAGCCGGAGGGTTGCCAAGAAATACTTCCCAGACTGGAAATGTGGGTCCCTGGATGCCTGGTTTCCCCTTTGTTGCTGGGAGCCAGACCCTTAACTGCTTGGAGACAGAGCCTCGACCTTGGGGGCCTCTGCCTCAGCTTCCCAAGTGGCTGAGATTGCAAGTATGCGCCACTGCACCCCGGTTTTTTGATTCTCTTCCTCGCTGAACCCTTGCTGAGGTTAACTGGAGCAAATGGCCAGAACCCGGCTGGAACCTAAGCTGCTGTGGGGAGTCTGCTCGGGGACAGGGACGCGTCTGTGAATCCGGGAGTGCGTGGTGGGGAGAGGCCAGGTGGGGCTGGAGGTCTGGGCCCTGGAGGGAGGCTGGGGTGCGGGAAGGCCGGAGGGGGAGACCCTAGGCCAAGCCTGCTGTGCCGATGCTGCCCCCTAGTGGTAGCACAGGCCCGGGACACCTGCCAACCTCACGCGGGGAGGGCCGAGGCTCCGCCCGCGGTGTGCACGGTGGCAGGAGAGCCTGTGCGGGTGTGTTGCGGGTAGCGCAGCCTGGGACCACGCATCCTAAGACAGCTTTACCTCTCGCTGAACGACACCCCAGCTCTAGCTCCCGTACACTGTTTCCTTTCGTTTTGAGCCAGGGTCTTGCAACGCAGTTCAGGCTGGCCTCGAACTCGCCGCAGTCCTCCTGCCTCAGCATCCCATGGCAAGAGGCGCGCGCCACTGCAGGCATCCCACAATCCCCGAGGGACTTGTGTACTCTTAATATCGATCAGGGTTTACTCAGCACTAAGCGCCGCCGCAGGATACAAGATAGACCCAGAGAATGCATCCCAGCAAAAACTCTGCCCCTAAGGCCAGGGATCTAGTCAGTGGCACAGCCCTGCCTGGCCAGCTCAAGTTGCTGAGTTTGATTCCTGGTTGGGGCGGGCGTGAGCTCGCAGACCGTGGGGGGCACGGAGCAGAAATTAGCGAACAAGTCCACTCGTGCGATTATTTTTCTAGAACAAGTCAGAAGTGACAGTCTAGGGTCGCCAAGGTGGAGGAGAAGTCAGTTACAGGGGAAGCTGAGGCAGGCTGATCGCAAGTTGAAGCCCAGCCGCTGATCGCGAGGGACCTTATCTCAAAATTTAAAAATAAATGAATAAAACCGAAGGTAAACGCGGAATGGAACAACACCTTCAAATCAGTAACTCTTGTTGCCAAGAGAACCGACCGGTGGGCAACCCTGTGCTGCAAATGTAGCAGTAACAGATGCTGGGACCCGTTCCCTTAGCAAGGCAGGAAAACTGACCCACATAAGTGTCCCCAAAAAGGGATTGGTTAATCAGTGCAATGCCTAGCAATGACCACTCCTCTCTTAGGCCCTGAATCAGGCCCACCTTCTCCCCTTGAGGTACCCCGGGGGAACCTCAGAATGTGATCTCACTTGCAAAAGGATCTTTACAAAGGTAATCAAATCAAGGCAGCTAATCCAGTATATACTGGTGTCCTTCAGAAAAGAGGAGATGCGCTGGGGAGGCTGAGGCAGGAGGATCGCACTTCTGAGGCCAGATTTGGCCATGCTGGAAAATGCTTTCTAAAAATAAAAAGGGCAGAGGCTGCAGCTCAGTGGCAGTGCTTGGCCAGGGTGCTCTGTGAGCCCCCCGGCTTCCATGCTCAGCACCGCAAGTATCAATCGATCGATCGATCAAAGACACGATAAAAGAACCAGCCCTGGCCACCTCTGGACTCTAGCTCAGGAGACCCCGTGTGAGACTTCTGACACCCAGCGGTGGAAATCTAACCCAGCCGACCTCGGGATTTGTTGCTCAGTGACCGCGCTCGGCCCCAGCACAGCGGAGTCTGGGGCTCCTGGCAAACTGAACAGCCCCCGAGGATACTTTTACAGCCTTTGAAATGATTAAATTTCCCAGAAACAGATGCAGGAAATGTCGAAAAGATGGGTTCATTTTTGTTAAACGAAAAAAGATAAAATTATAATAAATTTTTGTATACCTACTTTTGACATTTTGATACATTTTATATGATATATATATATTTTTTTGTACACGGAATCAAACTCACAACCTTGTGCTTGCCAGACAGGTGCTTGTGCCTCGGAGCTAAATCTCCAGCCAATTCAGTACATTTTAAACAATATTCTGGGGAGGGGGAGAGTCATTAAAATACATAAAAACCAGGTAAAGAGAAAGAAAAGTTGTTTTAAACTGTCGCTTCAGACTCTAATGTAACCTGGGAAGAAGCTGCCAAAAACTGCCTTGATTTACAGTTTTTACTTTAAAAAGAATATTGCATTTAAGAAAAAAATATATATGTAGTTTTTTTTGACAGAATGTCGTAGTTAAGGTTTGCGGTCAACTCAGAGATCCTCCTGCCTCAGCCTTCCAAGAGCTGTAGAGGCGCCCCTCCCCCACGCCCGTGCGCACCATCTGTCACTTATCTTGATTGCTGCTATGCTGATTGGTCAGTATTTGCACCTAAGGCCAGCGTCTTCATCTCGAGGCGGAAGCAGATATTCCAACAGTCAGATTCTATACATTTTTGCTCCCTCCCCGTCTACTGTCTGTTATTAAAAAATAATCTAGCATCCTAACAAATTAGCGCTGGGTGACAATCTAAAAGTTTTAATTACCTTCTCTCTCTGTTTGACTCTTTGCCCCTTTTAAATTTCTTACTCTTCTGGTCCAAACGCACAGACAAAAGTCCTCAGAAAATTCCTTAGGGAAACGATTTGTGCATAGGGAAAACGGGCTCAGCACAGAAACGTAGACGGTATTTAAGTGTAAACTTTGCAAGCGAGCCACGGCGACGGCGGCGGTTGTTTAGGTCTCGGGTTGTGTTAGATGCTTCCTTCGGTCTTTTCTTTTCTTCCTAGGTTTTCCTGCTTTCGGTTTCTGTTGCACTCAGGACAGCAATGAGCAGAATCAGCTGTGGCTTCAGGAAGTGGGACATGATAAAATGCAACCTTAAAGCTGATTACGAAAATATGAAAAAGGGTGCTTTCCGTGGGTTTCCGTAGTGTAGCGGTTATCACGTTCGCCTCACACGCGAAAGGTCCCCGGTTCGATCCCGGGCGGAAACACACTTCGTTTTGCCCATTTTATTATAGAGTACTGTATTTAAAATTATTTCAAAGTCTCTTTCCCTACCAAAGTGATTTGAAAGTCGTCTCTCTCATACCGATGCTCACTTTTTCTCTTCTTCCTCTGTAGGAAGTTTTATGGAATTTTAAAAGTGACTGCAATGTGCCGCAAGACAAATGACGGAACGACTTAAAAATTTTGAACAGTTAAAAGTACACTGCGTTGGCCGGGAATCGAACCCGGGTCAACTGCTTGGAAGGCAGCTATGCTAACCACTATACCACCAACGCACCTACAAGGACCCTGTTTTCCAGATTTCCTTAATAGAAGACTCATTGGTTCCATTGGGCGATACCAAATCGCACAGGGGTGTCCCTCCTTAAAATTCTCCCTTTTCCTCTAGAAGACAGGCCTGCCTGCCTGACGCGTCGCCCCCTGCGCGGTGCGTTGTTTTGGTACCGCCCAGCACCGTCCAATCACACTGCGCCGCCTGGGCAGCTCAACTTCCGGGTCAAAGGGGCTGGAGCCGGCGGGTCCCCCGTGTCTGCCGCCGGCGCTGTCCCCTGCGCCTGCCACTTCCGGGGCCGCAGTCGTGGGCATGGATCCTCGAGCGTGAGGCGCCGCCGGCCCCCGGGACGCCCTGCCCAGCCGTGCCGCCGCCCCGCGTCCCGGTAAGCCGCGTCCCGCCCCGCTCGTGACCGTGAACCCGCCATTGACCGGCCCCGCCTGGGCCGCGACTCCGGGACCCGCCATCGTCCTCCGCCATGGCCGGCCCGTGAGCCCCTCCCGCTCGGCCTCGGTTTCTCCTCACCCTTCGTTCCTCCTTCACCTCAGTTCCACCGCTGACAGCTTCTATCCCCGGCCCGGCCTCGCGTCCATCGCGATGCCCCCGGACACTGACTCCTTTATTTTTAGGGGGGCCCAAGATCGCGGTCCCCACTCCAGACTTTGGCCGCCTTCTCGTTGCCTTGAAGGCCCTGGAGGTCCGATCTCCCGCAGCTCGCCTTGCAGATTCTGTAGGAGATCGACGCCGCCTCTGCCAGCCAAGATCCCCATCCCGCCCCACCTGGTCCTCACCCCGGGCCCCACCTTGCCCGGGGTCCCAGGCTCGCCCGGCCGCCCACCTCCCACACTGCTCTCCAGTGTCCCCGAGGCTTCCCCATCAGGGCTGCGGTGTGGCCATCCCAAAGGACCTGGCTCTTTCCGGCTCCCCTGCCTCCCTGGGGCCTCTGTGGCAAGAATGAACCTGCTTTCGAGGAGCTGGGGCTTTTCCCCAGAAGGAGTGGACAGGAGTCAGCAGTCCCTGGGAGTCCCTGTCCCTCTCGCAGGGAACTGGGCACTATGGGGTGACTTCTCTCCCAAGTGCAAGCCCGGGCTTCCAGGCATAGCCAAGTAGAGAGGATTATTAGGTCCTGCAGGCCTTAATGACACGTTTATTCTATCAGGGTCTCTGTTTACTGCCTGCTGCTGGAATGGAGGCTTCTCGGACCCCTTAGAAGGTCAGTTGTGCTGCTGTTGGGCACCCACACGGGCTGGGGTGTGAGCTGGTGGGGCTCTGAACCGGAGATGGGCAGGGAGTGGCTTTCTGGCGCCCGTGGCTTGGACTCTGCTTGCTGAAGGCTTTTTGCCCCCTGCCCTTTGTCCTGCTTGCCCCTCCTGAGGACCTCGGGGAGGAAGGCGGAAGGCAGCTGATGAGCCGGGCTGCCCTCTACCTGTCTAACACGGTGCCTGGCACTTGGTCAGCGATTGGTGTGGGTTCTGGCTCTGAAAGAGACTTGAGTTCAGATGTCCTCTTGGCACGCTTTTAAGTGACTTGTTTAGTTGACAGCATGAGCTGTCACTCATTCATGCCATCTTGGGCGCCGTGTTATGAGATGTGTGTCTCACCAGTTCCCCATTGTGGCCCCATTTGATAGCTGGGGGAGATAAACACACGGAGGAATTAGATGGCTTCCCCAAGGTCACACAGCCCACTAGTGGCCCAGCTGGGATTTGAACCCCTCTCTCTACCCTGGAGCCACAGTCCCCCCCCTCCCCTGCCCCGCCCCGCCCCTGGGCTGAGGACTCCTCCCTGTGACAATTCGCTCAGTCCTCTTTCCGCTGTGACCTCTGTCCTGTGTCCAGGTGCTGCTATCTCTTTAAGCATCTGGCCAGCTGCCTGGTGTGGGGCCTGGCTTTTCTGGGCAGCGACTGAGCTAGGGGTCTCTGCCTTGGATGCCATTCAAAGGAGGACAGTGACTTACCTTTCTGACCTAGAGCGTTTGTGCTGTGTGCCCTGTGAACCAGGCGTGTTCTGGGCTCAGGATGGCAAAAATGGGACAGACAGGGCCGAGCCGCTGTGCTTGTTGATTTCCCAGTGGGCATCACTGGGACGTTTGGGGCCCGATCACTCTCCGGGGTGGGGTGTCCTGGGTACTGCAGGGTGCCGAGCAGCATCAGCAGCCTCCACTGCTCCATGCCTGGGGGTCCCCAGTTGTAATGGCCACAACTGTCCCCAGATATCACCTGGTGTCCTCTAAGAGCCAGTTCATTTCCAATTGGGACCCCCCTTCTCCCCAGAGGAAAAGTTGCCTAGAATGGTCCTCCAGGCCAGCATTCTTGTCCAGGTGTCGTGATGGGGTGACCAGGTGGCAACTGTGGATCAAGGGCTCGGGAAAGACCTCTGAAGGGTGCTTTGGGGCCCGGAGGATGAAAAGGAGGGAATCTCACAGCCAGCTGGGAAGGGCGTCCGGCGGAGGGAGCGGCCAGTGCAAAAGCCGGGAGGTGGGTGTTTGGGGAGAGCCAGGAGGTCAGCGCAGCTGAGGCTGTGGTTACAGAGGCCATCGTGATGTGGCCACTGGGAGAGGTTTGGGGTTAGGATGCTGCTTTCAGCACGTGCCCCCAGCCAGGCACCCTAGGGTCCTTTAAAACTCCAGGGGACTTTTTTGTTTGTTTGTTAAGTTATAAAGGAAAGCAGTTTATTTGGGTTACAGTCCTGTCCCGAGGTCAGGGGCCACCTGGGGTGATGGCCTCCCTATCTGGCAGACCCCGGGGGCAGCGCAGGGCGTCACACAGCTAGAGACACAGGTCCTTCCCTGGGGCTTCTTGGAAAACCACTCTGCTAAGAGACTGTGGGTTTCTGGCCCAGCCCAGCCTGCTCTCGAATTTCAGGGCAGCATCAGGGTGCCCTGGGTGCTGGGGTGTCCCCGAGCCGCATCCAGTGGGACGGGACGGGGCGGGGCGGGGCGGAGGGGCTGCCCTGCCCGAAGTCCAGCAAGGTCTCTCTGCTGCGCAGGCCCCCACCCTCCCGAGGCCCGCCGAGCGGTTAATGCGGAAGCTTAAGAAGCTGCGCCTGGACAAGGAGAACACGGGAGGTTGGAGAAGGTAAGGAGGGGCTGAGAGGGGACCCAGCGGCCCAGACGTCCACCAGAGAGCCATGCGGAGATGTCAGCCAAGGCGGGGCAGACGTGGGCCCACCAGAGAGCCATGCGGAGATGCCAGCCAGGGCAGGGCAGACATGGGCCTGTGGCCCCATTCCCTGCTCACTGGGTGAAGCCACACCGTCCAGTGACCTCTGTGTGTCCATTCTCAGTCCCAAGACAAGTGTGAGCCCAGCCCTGGCCTCCCAGACCACAGGGTACACTTCATATCTCGGACCTGCGCAGTTCGGACAGGAGGTCAGGGTTGCGCCCCAAGCCCTGGCTCGGGTTCCAAGACCGTGGGGAGCCCCCTGACACCTCCCAGCAGCTGGAGGCGAGCAGCTCCCCTCTCCTGTCCCTGTGTGCTCGAGCCCGGAGCAGGGCACAGGCTGCAGACCCACTCTGTGAAGCTTGGTGGTGAGCGCAGAGGCCCTAGCTGGCCTTGGCATAGCTTGAGGGGACAGAGTGGGGTGTCACTCCCCATTCGCAGCATGACGAGGCCCCATCGCCACCCCGAACCACCCCGACCCCGCCCTGCAGAGCTAGCGCTGAGAATCCACCTTTCCCTGCGTCCTAGGACCTTTTGGGTTTCTAGCAGATGTCCGGGGCAGGGGTGAGCGTCCCCACCCTTGATGTGCTGGCACGGACAGAGTCCCCAAGCCCAAGGCTGGCCTTGACAGGGACTCCTTGTCTGAAGCCATCTGCAGGCAACGTCACGGGCTGGGAGGGCGCTGCCCATTGGCCAGAAGAAAGTGTGGGTGGCTCGGGCTAGGTGGCTTGGAATCCCCGCTCCTTTCCTGTGTACACTCGTGACTCAGGAGTGCTGCACGGCCAGTGCTGGCGAAGGGCTCGCCTGTCCCCTGTCCCCTGTCCTCTCTGCAGCCCCTGCTTTGCCTCTGGGTGGCAGAGAGGCGAGTGTTGGCCTCCTGTGCCAGGCCTCAGGCCAGCAGGAAGGGCCCGGCCACTGCTGGAAGACCCCTGGCTGCTTCCCGGATGTGGCGTTTCACCGCGCAGCTCCTGGGTCCGGTTTGTGCCTGTCGGGCCCTCCGCGGTGACGAGAGGCAAGATAAGGCGCGCCAGTCCTCAGCAGTGAACATGAGCCGTGGGGTGCCACAGTGTTCCTGCAGGCCGCCCTGGGGCCCCGTGGGGGCCTCTCCAGGTTTTCCCTTTGCTCCCGTGAGCAAGGCTTGAATTGGGCTGGCACAGTTTGGGGGGGACTCATGGTAGCTCAGTTTTCTGGGTGTGTTGCCAGAAGTGCTTGGGAGAAATGGGTTCCATGTTTGATTTTTTTTTTTTAAATTGTGTTTTGGTTTGGTGCATTTGTTTTGGGGCAGGGTCTCACTGTGCAGTTCAGGCTGACCTCAAGCTCACAGCGATCCTCCTGACTCAGCCTCCTGCTTGCGAGGTGTGCGTCACCTCGCCCTGCTCTATGTGTGGGCTCTGAGTGCTCTCTGGGGCCTGGATCAGCCCCTGCCTACCTCTGCCCAGCCCCCCACCCCACTGCCCCGGAGATGACTCGTGGCATGGCAGCCAGCCAGGGCAGGTCACCCGGGTTCTCTGGGCTTGTCTCATCTGGCCTGAGGGTTCTGTGGTCACTGATGGTCTCTGGCCCGTGTCATCAGAACATCTTAGGAGGGACAAGGAACTAACTCTGTCCTTTCTAGCTGGAGGGCAGCCGCAGCCCTCCCAGTGTCTCTGAACCCCGCCTCCCCAGGCCCCGGCGCTTTGCTGGGGTTGGCTCTGAAGGGACCTCTGGGGTCAGCCTGCAGCTGGACATTGAGAAGCCACTTGCCCAGGAGGCCTGCGTGCCCGGCTGGCAGTATCCTGCAGCGCTCACCCCGTGGGCCTCACCCCCAGGGCACACGAGTGGGCAGCCCTGTGGGACCCCCACACTCCTCCCGCTGTGACTTCTCAGCCAGGCCGTCTCCACCAAATGCCTTTGCAGCACTCACTGGGAGTGAGGGTCCTGTCCCCGGGCTCAGTTTCTCCTCTGTAGAGCAAGGTGCAGCGGGCCCAGGAGCCCGTGTCCCTCCCCGGCAGCCCAGGGCTCTTTCGCCCACATTGCTCGCCTTGTGAGGTCTCTTACTGGTAAGGGGCAAAGTGTTGGGGAGCCGATGGCGCCAGAGTTGGGGGTCCTCCCGTCTCCCTCAGCCCTCGGTGGGGACCGGAAGCCTCCCAGGGACCCACAGAGGGCCTCCTGGCTGGTCGTGGCTCCCTCTTAATCGGGCTGCCCAGCCCTTCTAGAACTTGCTGGCTGTGGCCTGGTATTTAGATTTCCTTAAAACAAATATTTGCTCAGCCTGTCCAGTCCAGCGGTGGCAGTGAGGGGGTGGGGCAGAGGGAGGTGCGGTGGTAAGGTCTTAGGGAGGGGGTGTGGCCACCCCACCTGGATGGCACCCACTTACCTAGAGACTCGTGGTGTGCTCCAAAGTCTCCACTGGGCAGGGAACCTAGTGCACGGGGACAGCGGTGGCTTTTCACCCTCAGGCCTTTGTTCTGGGGCTATGGACACAGCCACACATGAGACAGATATGGGGGAGACAGGTGTTCAACAAAGAACCATGCTGGAAATGTTTAAGGGCAGGCAGACAGGTGCCATCGGGTTCCTGAGGATGCGCCAGATAAGTAAGCTGAGATCTGCATAGAGCAGATCAAGCAGAGCTAGGAAGACAGTGTTCCGACCGTAGGCAACAGGATGTGCAAAGGTCCTGGGGTGGGTGGAAGGCCAGTTTCCCTGGGCACAGTGATGAAAGGGATTGGAATTCAAGATGACAGCCTCAAGGCTTGATCGGTTCTGTGTTGTTTGCTTTTGTCTTGTTTCTCACTGGTGGAGCTGGGCATGGAACCCAGGGCCTCGGGCCAGCTAGGCAAGTACTTACCCCTGGGCCGCACACACCTCCAGCGCTGAGTCCCAGGGAAGCCAAGAAGTGTTTCAGGGAAGAGATTTGCAGTGGAGGAGGGGGATGCAGGCAGGAGACCACGTCAGTCACTCAGCCTGCAGTGACAGTGGCCTGGCTCTCCGAGGCCATGGGGGTGCTGGGAGAAGCAGACCCCTTGGGGCTCGGGGTTCAGGGTGGCGTGAACTCCCGCATGTGCTCACCCCGCCTCACCCTCTCCCGCCTGCTCCCCCACAGCTTCTCACTGCACCCCGAGGGCGCCGAGAGGATGTCCATCGGGACCCCGCCGCCGGCTGAGCGGCCCCCCGTGGGCGACATGGACGACGCGGCCTGCCGCTTCCAGGTGCCCAAGCACTCGTGGGACGGGCTGCGGAGCATCATCCACGGCAGCCGCAAGTACTCGGGCCTCATCGTCAACAAGGCCCCACACGACTTCCAGTTCGTGCAGAAGACGGACGAGGCCGGGCCGCATTCCCACCGCCTGTACTACCTGGGTAAGCCCGGCCTGGGGGCTGGCTGGGCTCTGAGCCTGGAGAGCGTGTCGGGACCTGCCACGGGTCTGAGCCTTCCAGCGGGTGACACGGACCCCAGGGGGACCCGCCCTGCAGCAGGGTGTCAGGAAGGCTCCGGGTGGTGTCACCACAGTGGCCGACCGCTAGGGGAGGCACCACACATGTCCCCTAACCCACCGCACACCCCGAGTGAGCAGGCTCCATGCTGGTCTCCTCTTCCTGGTACCCGCGCCTGTGTGTGGCACTTTTGACATCTTCCGTAGCTGGTAATGGGCCTGTGTCCCTGCTGGGCCTCCAGCACCTCAGGAGGAGAACCAGATCTGCAGCCAGGTCACGGTCTGTCCCCCAGCAGGTGGGCAGGAAGCTACTGCAGCAGTGGGTGCTGCCCGGCCTCCCCCAGGGGCTCACGGAGCTGGCCAGGAGGGGCCCTGTGGGGATCCGCCCGGCCTCTGCCTCTGAGGGCAGTGCTGCATGGCCCTGAGCAGAGGTCAGGCTCCTGGCTCCCGGTGCTGGGTGCACAGGGGCCCGGTCCTTCCCTAGGGTGAGCAGCCCGGGCCTTGCCGGTGCTGAGCCGCGTCCCTGGCTTCCCACCTGCGCCATGCCAGGCTGCCCAAGGCGTGACAGCCACACACATCCCCAGACATCACATGTTGGACAGAACCCCTGTGCTGGGGACAAGGGAGCAGTAGAATCCTCCTCCATGACAGTTCTCTTTCAAGGGCCAGCGTGTGGCCTGAGCCCCAGAGCCAGGGGACCAGTCCCTCAATGCCTGAATGAATGAGCGGGTGGGTGAATTAGTGCCACCTTCTGCCCGAGGCAGTGGTACAGCACAGGGTGGACACCAGGTGGCCGTCCTCTTCCTATGGTCCCTGCGGTCCTTCTGCAGAGACAGGCCTGTGGGGAAAGTGGAAGGCCGTGTGTGTCGAGTGCAGAAGCAGACGGACTGGTTGCAGAAAGGGCCGGCCCTGGGCGTGGAAGTGTGCACCAACACTGGCTTGGAGGAGGTCAGGACCGGAAAAGCCTCGGGTTCCACTCACCCAAGAGAGCAGGGGGTTAGCACAGGAAGTGTCCCAGCTCAGGACGCCAGCTCCCAGGGCCTGTCCAGGTTTTGAAAGTTCTGTGGCCCCCGACTGCTGTGTGTCCTCAGCACAGCCGTGGGCCGCTTCCTTGCGTTTCTGATGGCGTCCGGCTCCAGGTCCGTTCTCTGCCCGCCCTGACCAGTGACCACCCAGTTAGTGGCTTTTGCGGCTGAAGTCCGTTCATTTGCAGTTCTTGAGCCAAGACTCTGACATCAGTCTCGCTGAGCTAAGACCAGAGCAGCCGCAGGGCCCAGACTCCCCTGAGGAGCAAGGGCAGGACTGTCCCCTGCCACTTCCAGCTGAGGTGACTGCTGGTGTTCTTGGTGGCGGTGGCCACACCTGCGCACTCCTCTGTCTGCCAGAAAGGCCCCTCCTTCTCCCTGCTAAGGACGCCCCGTGACACTGGGCTCCCGCCTGAAATTTATGCACATCTGCAAACACTGTCCCAGCCTGTGTGGTGACGGTCACTGTCGGGCCCCTGCAGGTGGGCGTCTCTCTGTGTGTTCGGCCTGCGCAGAACCCATGGTAGACACCGGATGGGGACAGCTCTCAGAACACGGGGCGCGAAGCGGAGGACCCAGAGCCTTCTGGGACCCAGGCTCGGGGCACTCTCCTCCATCCGGCAGCACCTCTGGGCCTCCTAGGTTCCCGCAGCTTGGAGAAACGGAAGCCCCTTCTCCAGGTTTCCTGGAAAAGGAATCTAATTGGCTCAGCGTAAATCCGATAGTCCAATCAGCTTTGGCCTGCGCGTGTCCAGGGAGGGTAGGCGGGGCCTTCCAAGCTGGCCCCAGATTTCCAGAAGGAATTGGATTGGTTTGGCATAGGGTGTGTGGGGCAGGGGCTGACAGGTCCTGTGCTGGACCTCCGAAGCCCATAGGGGTGGGCTCCGGACAAGCGTGTGCTAGTGACAGACTACGAAATGTCCCCAGAGCAGCCCAGAGCTGCTGTCTGTCTGGGTGATGGTCACCCTCCGGTGACCCCTCACTTCGTTAGACCCAGTGCAGGCAGCCCCGTCGTGAATTCCTGGGGCTCTTGGGCAGGTCTCCCCACGGCCCTCCGTGGTGTGTGCACAGCCTGGTGCTCGCTGGCGCCGGGGCTAACCTCGCGCCACGTCCACCACCACCAGACCCCCGTGTCTTTGGCCTCCAGCACTCGGGCACATGTCGTCACTGCGTTCTCTAGAGGGTTATGGGATCCGATGGGTGGAGCCCAGGGCCCGTCTGGGGTGGCTCGGGGTCCAGGACTCAGTGCTCTCACCCGAGGGCACACTCAGCTCCGCCCTCGCCACCCGGGAGCAGAAGCAGCAGGCAGGCACTGTGTCTGGACCGGGAGCCAGGCCCGGCTCGGGCCAGGTGGCCTGGCCACGGAGGCCACAGTGAGGAGTGTGCTGGGGGCAGGCCGGCGGGGTATGTGCGGAGGAAGAGCTGGGAAGGCAGAAGCAGGGGCGGGAAGGCGGTCACCTCCGCCTTCCGTCCTCTGCTGCACGTCAGGCATCGCGGCCTGGCGCCCGCAGCGTCCCGGCCAGGAATGCACGGGCTCGCCCTCTGCGCCATCACCGACTAATCAGTGCAGAGGGCGGTGGCCCGTGTCCTTGGCAGGGCCTCGCCTCGCACTTCCTGTTTGGAACCCCTGGCTCTGCACATCCCCGAAGCCTCTGGTCCCCGGTGAGGTTTAAAAGAGGAACAGGGCTGGGGGTGGCTTTGTGGCAGAGCACCCGCCGGGAATACATGAGGCCGCAGATTCAGTCCCTGGTACCTTAAAAGACAAGTCTGAGGGGAGCCTTCTCCGAGGCTGAGGCAGGAGGATCACAAGCTGAAGCCCATCCTGAGCACCTTAGTGAGACCCTGACTCAAAATAAAACGGAGTGGGGATGTAGCTCAGCGGCACAAGTACCTGTGTGGCAAGCCCGAAGTCCTGAGTTCGATTTCTGGCACACAAAAGAAAATAGAAAATAAAGGCTAAGCTCAGAGCCAAGGCCCTGGGGGGGGGGGGCTGTGCAGTTTAGTGCCTGTTATCCCAGCATTCAGGAGGCTGAGGCAGGACTGCCTCAAGTTTGAGGCCAGCCTGGGCTACATGGTGACTTCAGGACCAGCCTGAGTATGTAGGGAGACTATTGAAAAAAAAAAAAACCCAAAATAAATAAAAACAAAGGAGAAGTTTGAGCCCTCGTAATTGGTACCCCAAGTGCTACCCACACAGCTGTAACCGTGAAGGAGTCCTGTGGTACCCCAAGCGTGTTCCACACAATGGGGAAACCGAGGCATGCTGGAAATTGTCGTTCAGCAGCTGCTCTTCACCTTAGCGATAAAAACAGCCCTGTCGCCCATCAGATCCAGGACCCTGCTGGCACTCAGTGGCCACAGCCTCCACACCCGCAGACCTACCTCAGCCACCCACAGATGCCATCATCCGGGGATCAGAGACTCGGGGCAAAGCTGAATGCCAGCTTTGCTCTTAACAGTCATGGGCAGGCAGCTCGTACCTGGTATCAGCTAAGGTTTATTATTTAACTATTTATTTATTTGGTTTTTGGAGACAGGATCTTGCTACGTAGCTCAGCCTGGCCTTGAACTCGGGGGAAGTCTCCCTGCCGCAGCCTCCCAAGTGCTGGGGTTACAGGTGTGCACTCCTGCCCCCGGCTGCGGTGTCATTTTACATAGGGGACTTGAGCACCTGTGGACCCTGGGATCTGGGGTCCTGGAATCAGCCCCACAGGTACCTAGGGGTGACTGTTGTATCCACTATGAAGCGCAGGCCAGGGTCCCCGACAGAAGGCCCCGGGCAGCCCTCAGAGATAAAGTGTGTAAAACCCACGGCTTCCTGTCGGGCCCTGCTGGTCACCCGGGGGCACCTGTGATACGCTGAGAGCTTTTATGCTTCCAGCCTCCTTTAATCTGCACGGGACCCCACCCAGCAGCACTGCTCCCCTGTCCTGGGGAAGCTAGGGTGGGTCGAGGTCCTCCCTGGGGTGACTCAGCAGGCTGGACATCTGAGGTCGGCTCTGCTCCTGTCAAGAAGCGGATGGAATCCCTGCCACCAACCCCCAAGAGGGCTCCACCCTGGGGGCCTGCAGCCTTAGATGCCTGCTCCCCTGTGCCCCACCCTCCGGTGGGGAGGGCGCCAGGGCCCCCACTCGTTCCCCCAAGAGCTGTTTCCCTGTAATAAGGTCACAGTGCTCAGCAGAAATGTCCCAGATGGTAGACCTGGTCTCCACCATAATGGGACCAGGGTCTCGGGCCCCTGGGGGTGGTGTTGCCGCATCCTGGTGACCTAGCTGGGGATCCGGCTGGCCCGGGCCACTGAGCAGGAGGATGACCCAAGGCTGCCACTGAGGCCCCTGCCTGGCCGGCTAGGGTCCAGTCTGGCACGTCCACCTTCCCCAGGGATGCCTTACGGAAGCCGGGAGAACTCGCTGCTCTACTCCGAGATCCCCAAGAAGGTCCGCAAGGAGGCCCTGCTGCTGCTGTCCTGGAAGCAGATGCTGGACCACTTCCAGGTGAGCAGGCCCGGGACCGGCAGGGACCCCGAGAAGAGCTCCTTTTTTTTTTTTTTTTTTCGTCTTTTTGAGACAGGGTCTCACTGTGCAGTTCAGCCTGGCCTTGAGCTTACTTTGCTGCTCAGGATGGTCTCAAACTTGCAGCAATCCTCCTGCCTCAGCCTCCCAAGTGCTGGGATGCAGGTGTGAGCCACCACACCCGGCTCCGAGAAGAGCTGTTGTCCCTGCAGTGTCTCTGTTTCCCATTTTAGCCGGGGAGCTGGAATTGCCGTGGAGAGGGGCTGATGATTAATGTCACCCGTGCCGTAGCCCTGCTGAGGGGACAGTGCTTTTCCCACAGATGCGTTGCATCAGTCATTGTAATAACATGAGTGTGGACCAGGCCGAGTCTCCCTGCGCAGCCCAGCGCACTCCCTCTGTCCCCCTGGGCCAGCCTGTGTTTGCATAGCGCTCCACACAGGCTGAGCCAGCGCCCTGGGTCTCCTCTCTGTTTATTCCTGGGGTGCTGGAGCCAGAACCCAGAGCCTCACACGTGCGGGAATGAGTGCTCGCTGGGGAGCTACGGCTCAGCCCTGGTTTCCTTCTTTAAGATGCATGTGGAGGTCCCTGCCTGTCATCCCAGCCCTCTAGGAGGCTGAGGCAGGAGCATCCAAAGTTTGGGTCCAACCTCAGCAACTCAGTGACTCCATGAGACTTTAAAGGAGGGCTGGAGAGGGGGCGGGGTGTGTGGCATGAGCGCCTGCCTGGCAAGCGCGAGTTCATGAGTTCGATCCCGGTACATACAAAAAAGGCGGTGGGGGCTGGAGATGGAGCTTAGCTTGAAGAGCGTGAGTTCAATACCAGGCACCACAGAAAAGCCACAAACCAACAGCGTATGCATGATGTTCCTCCCCGCACCCCCTGGTCTGCAGAATTAAGAGGCCGCCTGGACCCCGAGATCGGGTGGTCGGGGACTCTGCCTGCACCCAGCCTCACGGAAGGGAGGAATGCGTGGAGCTGGGTGTAGATGGGCTGCGGTGGGCAGCAAGGGGCCGGGTGGGGACAGGTGGCCATGGGCAGGATCATCAGAGCCATGCAATAGGAGAAGCTTCCGGGTGGCCCCGGAAAGCCCGGCCACTTGCCACCCCGGGTGCCAGGCGGCGCTGCGTGCACGGGCCTCCCCGGCACGGTCCTGCGCGCTCGGCAGCTCCCCTGTGGTCCGCGCAGCCGGGCCCCAGCGGACTCTGAGTGCCTGCAGACCCGCCCTGTGCCCCCAGGCCACGCCGCACCACGGGGTCTACTCCCGGGAGGAGGAGCTGCTGCGCGAGCGCAAGCGCCTGGGCGTCTTCGGCATCACGTCCTACGACTTCCACAGCGCCAGCGGCCTCTTCCTGTTCCAGGCCAACAACAGCCTCTTCCACTGCCGGGACGGCGGCAAGAACGGCTTCATGGTGCGGCCGGGCGCGGGGCGGGGACCCTGCGGCTGCGTGGCGGGCGCCGCCGGCCCCTGAGCCCGGTCTCCGCGTCCGCAGGTGACCCCCATGAAGCCACTGGAGATCAAGACCCAGTGCTCGGGGCCCCGGATGGACCCCAAGATCTGCCCCGCCGACCCCGCCTTCTTCTCCTTCATCAACAACAGTGACGTGTGGGTGGCCAACATCGAGACGGGCGAGGAGCGGCGACTCACCTTCTGCCACAAGGGTGAGGCTGGCCAGCCTCGGGGACCCGCCAGGGCGCCCACCACGGCGGCCACAGGTCCCCTCCGCTCCCGCTCCCAGGGTGCGCCCCTCACGCACGCTCTCCCCCCAGGGCTGCCCAACGTCCTGGACGACCCCAAGTCCGCAGGCGTGGCCACCTTCGTCATCCAGGAGGAGTTCGACCGCTTCACGGGCTGCTGGTGGTGCCCCACGGCCTCCTGGGAAGGTGGGTCCCCCACCGCCCCAGCTCCCTGTTCCGTGGGCTTCGGTGCCACACAGCGCCGTGTGAGGCCTTGGTCGTGTGTCACTGTCACGCTGGGATGGGCACAGCCCTGAGAGAGCATCCGGCCCAAGCCCACAGCATTGCCCTGGGCGGCAGTGACAGCCCTTGTCGCCAGGACCCCAGTGTGGCCTGCTGGCCAGGCCTGCTCGAAGCTGTTGCCTCCCAGGGAGTGGGCTGCGTCTCCTCTCGGGTGATGGGGCCTGCTTTCCTCCTCCCTCCCTCCCTCCCTCTCTCCGTCCCTCCGTCCCTCCCTCCACCTTTGCCCTGTCCGTGCTTGTGTGCGGGCCAGACCCAGGCCCTCGGTGGCACCGCTGAACTGCACAGCAGCCTGGCCTGCTTTGTGACCATGTTTACTGTATGCCCTCTTGCCTGTGTCCTGTCTGTCCACTGGGGCTACAATCACAAAACACCGCAGTCGGTGACTCAAGCAACGGGAATGTATGGTCCCCCACTCTGGAGCCGGAAGTCCGAGGGCCTGGTGCAGGCGGGGCGCCCCCCCCAGGCCTCTCCTTGGCGTCTTCACACTGTGTGTGTGTGTGTGTGTGTGTGTGTGTGTGTGTGCGCGCGCGCACTGACCTCTGCTTTTCCCTCGTAGCACTGGGGATGGAACCCAGGGCTTCCTGTGTGGCGGGCACGTGCTCTAGCACTGGGCCACATGCCCAGCCCTTCTTAAAACTTCCTTCTAAGATAAAGGCTCACCCAGTTATTGAGGCTGGGCTTCAACCTGAGACCCTCCTGCCTCGGGCTCTGAGTAGCTGGGATCACGGGCCTGTGCCACCCTCCATGGCTGGCTGATAGCTTTTTATAAGGACCTGAGTCACAGCAGGCTGAGGCCCAGCGTATGACCTCATTTTACCTTTTTAAAAATTTACTTTATTTTATTTTTTTGGTCCTGGGGATCAAACTGATGATTGTTTGTGCCTCGCACTTGCCAGGCAGGCGCCACGCCGCTGAGCCACACCCGGGCCTGGCCCCATTTTACCTGAATCACCTCTTCAGTCTCTGCCTCCAAGTGCAGGCACACTGTGAGCTTGGGCGTCACCGCTCGAGTTTCAGGGCACACCGCTTGGCCCACATACCCTGTGGGCACCTTCTGGCCCATGGGCCGGGGCAGGTCTGTGCTCCTGCCTGGTGCGGGTCAGAGAGGTGACAGGCTCCGCAGCAGCCCTGCAGCCGGCGTGCTCAGCGACCCGTGCCCCCTGCAGGCCCCGAAGGCCTCAAGACGCTGCGGATCCTGTACGAGGAGGTAGACGAGTCCGAAGTGGAGGTCATCCACGTCCCTTCCCCCGCACTAGAAGAACGGAAGACAGACTCCTACCGCTACCCCAGGACAGGTGAGCCCGGGGCGGCTGCACGCTGCACAGCCCCGGGGACTCGAGGACAGGCACACGCCCGCCAGCCTCACTCCCCGGAGCATCAGAGGCCAGCACCTCCCGCTGGCCTGGCCAGGTGTGCAGCAGGACACTTGCAGGTCCGCCAGCCCCCGGCAGGACCAGGGCGCCTCTGGCCCAGCACCCCAGCTGCCTGCCCGTGCCTGCCACCCAGCTATGTGGAGGCTGAGGCAAGAGGGCCGCCACGAAAACCTCTACTGATGTTTGCATGGCAAATAATTGACTTTTCTCTCTCTCTTTTTTGAGACAGGGTTTCATTCTGTAGCCCAGGCTGGCCTTAAACTCACAGCAATCCACGTGCCTCAGCCTCCCGTACACTGGGACTACAGGGGTGCACCACCCAGCCCAGCTCTAGAAGTGGCTTTTTTATTTTGGCACCTGGAATTGAGCTCAGGACCTTGCGTTTGCCAGGCAGGGCTGCGCCACTGACCTATATCCCTGGCCCTGTAAATACTTTTGAATTGCGTGGCACATTCATATGACACAAACTATCATGTTTCTTTTAACCTGCTTTTTCATTCTCTTTACCCCTTTAAAAAGGATCCTAGCTTTCCCCAAATAGAACAGGGCAGAGCTGGCCCTCAGGCCATGGTTTGGCAATCCTGACAGCCAGGTGGGACCCCTGTGTTCGCTTTCCTGTCCTCCTTCGGGTTCCATTAGCTGCCTGTCCTGGCTTCTCCCTTGCTTTCTGGCCCTTCTGCAGTTGTGGCGGCAGCAGTGGTAGTGTTTGTTGTTAAAGTTGGCTGTCCAGGGATTGACCCCAGGGCCTTTGCACTGAGCTCCATCCCCAGCCCTTTATGTTTTACTTTGACACAGGCTTTTGCTGAGTCACTGAGCCACCCCACTGGGCTCGAGCTTCCTGTCTCAGCCTCCCAGAGTGCTGGGGTGACAGGTGCAGGGCACCCCGCCTAGCTTCCGCCCTGTGCTCCTAAGCAGTAAATTCAACTGTCACATCCCAGTCAGAAACAGAATCCTAAGTCAGAAAGTCCCTGCCTGTGGGACTTTGTGCCCATGCCAGGGAGGGGACACATGTGCAGGTGGACCTTTGGATACTCAGCCTCTCCCTGCCCTGGCTGGGTCACCTGTGGCCACCCAGAGGCCCTCAACAGGCAGCAGTGACACCATCATTTCCACTTCACAGGCAGCAAGAACCCCAAAATCGCCTTGAAGCTGGCAGAGTTCCAGACTGACAGTGAGGGCAAGGTAGGGTGCCTCCAGGGCCCAGGGGCGCCAGCTGGCGGGGTGGCGTGGACTAGGGCAGGGTCCCCGAGTTGCCTCTTGCCTGAGGGTACCGCAGCTACCAGCAGCCTCGGCCCCGGGCACGGTCCCTGGTCCCGGCCTCTGGACAGGTCCTCGTGGGTCACTTACCTGGCCAGTGGGGCAGGTGGGCTCTGGGTACACTGAGTGTTGGCGCCCCCCACCCAGGAAGTCAGTGTGGGCCTGGTGTCTTGGGGTGGTGGCCAGGCAGCAAAAGACATCATGGTTCAGAAGCCAAGCGGTCACTGCCAGACACGTCCTGCCCCTCCTGCCCCGCCATCTGCCCACGTCCCTGGGGCCTGGGAGCTGCCCCCAAGGCACAGAGGATGCTGGCGCGTGGGTGGCATCTGCTGCTTTGCCCTTTTCATAGTGCTGAGGCGGGAACCCAGGGCCGTGCCCATGGGAAGCGGACACTCGACCACTGGGCCCGGTGGCATTTTCTTCCTGGGACAGCCTCGCTTGTTGTCCAGTCTGGGCTTGAATCGACATCCTCCTGCCTCAGCCTCCTGAATAGCTGGGCTGACAGGCGCGTGCACTGCACCCTTTAACTGCCTCATGTGCAACCCACAGTCTGCCAGGGCCCCTGTCGCTAAGGGTCACAGCTAGGGCCTCTCCCGGGGGCTGTCGCACCGTCCCGGGGCCGGCAGTCTAAGCTCAGGGTCCTGGTCAGGTGAGGCTGCCCAAGGTGGGCAGGTGCATCCGCCCCCTCCGCCTGCAGACCCCATCCTGTGCACTGCCCCCTAGGGTCCCGGGGGTCCACATCGCTGCCTGCGCAGTTTGAGGCACGGGGTGGGGGTGGGGTGGTGGTGAGCGCTGTGCTGGCGTGGCCAGGGCGTGTGATGGCCCATGTGTCCCGCAGATCGTGTCCGCCTGTGAGAAGGAGCTGGTGCAGCCTTTCCACAGGCTCTTCCCCAGGGTGGAGTACATCGCCAGGGCCGGCTGGACACGCGACGGCTCATAGTGAGTGACCCCAGACGCGACCTGGGACCCGCCATGGGCTGGGGTTAGGGTGGGCAGCCGTGCCACGCCCCCTGCTGTGTGTCTTCAGCCCCTGATGGCGGCTCTGTCCCCTGCCTGCCTGTGTCCACAGGCTATGGCCACCCATCCCTCGCCTTTCCTCATAAAGACCAGGAACTCGGGATAGCTTTCACATGTTTGGGGGTTTTCTGAAACAGACTGGCCTTGAACTCAGGGCAATCCTCCTGCCTCAGCCTCCAGAGTGGGATCTGAATAACCGGCCAGTGGGGGGGGGCTTGAAGGAGGAGGGAGCTTTATTACACTGAAGCGTAGGAAGCTCACAGCTTCCTGCCTCACAGCCCATGGAGGCTGGCAGCGCCGGCCCTGCGCGCTCAGCCTGGGTGGCCTTTGGTACTTTCAGGCCATGGGGGCACAGCTGGGTCACTGTGTCAGCTGCTGTGAGGCCCGCATTGCCCAAAACGTGTCCTCTGCAGCCCTGGCTTCCTGGGAAATGCACTTTCCCTGCGTGGAGCTCCTCAGCCAGAGTCCAGCAGGCATAGGCCCGCACCCCGGGCCCACTGTGGGGTTTGGGGCTCTCTGAATGCCTCTTGTGCTCTGTGGAGGAGCACTTCTCTATTAGGGTGCTGACCTGGCTCTCAAGATTAACAGAAGCTGAGATGTTTGCACTCGGCCAAGTGGGCCAGCATATACCTGTCATCTTGGCGTCCTGGGAGGCTGAGGCAGGAGGATCGCAAGTTCAAGCTCATTCTGGGCAGCGTAGCTCAAAACAAAATAGAAAGGGGCTCAGCGCCAAGGCCATGGGTCTCACCCCAGTACCCACGGCCCAAGGCGTCCTTGAGAAGGAAGGTGCAGGTCTGCAGGGCACTGCCCGGCCCTGGTCACCCAGGACGTGGTCTCCAGAGGCCTCGCTGAGGTGCCGGTCTCCCCCGTGTCCCCAGCGCCTGGGCCATGTTCCTGGACCGGCCCCAGCAGCGGCTCCAGCTCGTGCTCCTGCCCCCAGCCCTGTTCATCCCGGCCCCCGAGAGCGAGGAGCAGCGGCTGGCGCTCGCCAGGGCTGTCCCCAAGAGCGCCCAGCCGTACGTGGTGTACGAGGAGGTCACCAACGTCTGGATCAACGTAAGCGTGGACAGGCAGCTCTTGTCCTGGGGCCCCCTGAGGCAGGACGGGTGACACACAGGCCGGCGTCCCCCTCCTGACCTCCGCCTCCTCCGCCAGGTCCACGACATCTTCTACCCCTTCCCCCAGCCCGAGGGGTCCGAGGAGTTCTCCTTCCTCCGGGCCAACGAGTGCAAGACCGGCTTCTGCCACCTGTACAGAGTCACTGCCCTCCTGAGGCCCAGCGGCTATGACTGGACAGAGCCGCTGAGCCCCGGGGAAGGTGAGCACCCACCAAGGGCCCGCGGGCTCCAGAGGCGAGCAGCAGTCGCCAGTGGCCCCCCACACAACCAGGCTGTGCGCCCCAGACCTGTCCCTGCTCCCCCACCCGATGCTGGACTGGCCCAGGGCTGCATGGTGAGCACAGGTGCCCCACGGCAGCGTTGACTAACGGGATGGAAAGCAGTGTCATGCAGGGCTGCGAAGTGACTCTCAGCCCTGACCTGCTCTAGACGCCAAGGAGGGGGCATAAAGAGGCCCCTCTCCCTGCTCTTCTGGAGGTTTCCAGGGGAGGAGACAGGCAGTGCTCTGGTTACCAGTACTGTCCTGGAGCAAGGAATGCGGAGGGAGTGGTCAGAGCTCATGGCTTCTTTTTTTTTTTTTTTTTTTTTTTGTCTTTTTCCTTTTTATCCGTACCAGAGATTGAACTCACAACTGCCTGCTTGCAAGGCAGGCACTTATGCCGCTGAGCTAAATCCCCAGCCCCTAGCTCATGGCTTCTTTAAGAACAAGGCTCAAGAAGATCTGGATAGAGAGTGTAGGTATGACCTGGAGAGGTGACAGGAGGCCCATGGCACTGCTGTGCAAAGGCCCTGGGGTACAATGGAGCCAGTGAGGTGCAGGAGCAGCCTGGCCTATGCGGCTGGAGCAAAGGGAGCAGGGTGAGCGGTGAGGATAAGTGGGTGGCAGGAAGACTCGGGCTTTGGCCCTGAGGGCAGCAGGCTGGTCTGTCTGTCCTGGTTCAAAATGCCTCGTTTCTATGGGGTTCTCAGGCGAAGGGGCGAGGAGAGGTGACCATCTCACGGCAGTGGCTGGGGCTGTCCCCATGCTGTAACAGTGGGGCCTGTGCTGTTGGTGCCAGGTCTGAGGGGGAGAAGGCATGGGCACCTGGGAGGTTCTGGGGTGCAGGCTGAAGCAGGGAGAGAACCCAGGGCTGGGCCTGGATGTGTAGAGTTGGGGTGCTCCATGGTGGAGGCCTCTGGGGCAGAGCAGGTCCCCGCAGGGTTCGGGCACCCTCACACCCAGAGGCCATCCCACCTCAGCACAGGATATAGTTAGGACGGGGCCTCCCTGGCACCATGGACGTCAGGAGCTACCCATGTCCCCAGACCTCACCCCCGGCTCCCAGGGGCCAGATTCCCACAGTTTAGAGGTAACACCCATCAGTGACCTGAGACGGCCAACACCCCAGGGGACATGGTGATGTCCAGGGATGTGGAAGAGGGGCATCGGGGGCAGGCTAATAAGGGGCCAAGTGAGACAAGTGCCAGGACACAGCTGTCCACACAGGCTGTGGTCACCTCAGCCCCCGGTTGGTAGTGCCAGCCACCTCCAGGCACAGCTTTCCTGGACTCGGTGGCACAGTGGCCTTTGGTTTGCCTGGACAGCTCATCCACCAATGGAAGCACCAGGAGCTGTCCTTAGATGCCCACTGGCAGCCACCCTCAGACCGGCTGGTCCAAGAGCCATGCCCAGTTCTGCAGTGGTGCCCGGGCAGCTGAGCAGGCGAGACTGGAGAACCTCACAGCAAGATTGGGCAGCCTGGCCACAAGTGAGGACAGAGGACAGGAGAGGGGGGTGTCAGGGTGGCCTTCCCGGTCAGGTGAGGGACAGGGCGCAGAAGAGTCGTGGGCTGCTGTGGGGCCCCAGGCTGGGTCCTTGGGGTACCTGGGCAGGTACTCGGCTCAGGCCCTCACAGGGGCATCAGGAGAAGCGAGGCTGGCCCAGCCCCAGAGGGGGCCAGGTGTGACTCCCAGCAGCCATGGGGCAGACACGGTATAGGCACCATACCTCTGCCAGTCTTGCTGTGACTGGCCACACCTCCGCACCCCAGGTCACTGCCGATTGTCCCAGGCTGAGGCAGGAGGTGACCTCTCCTGAGACACTGACAGCAGCTCCCTTGGGGCCCCAGAGGACACAAAAGGAACCAAGTTGTCACAACTGGGCCATGTCACTGTCCTCCCAGTGCCAGCTCTAAGTGACACCTACGCCCCAGTCCATCAGCCGGGTCCTGACAACTCAGCCTGGCCTCAGTTCTCCCCGCAGAACCCCACACTGTACCCGCAAGGTCGCAGCTGGGCAGAGGAAAGGGGGCAACTCCCTGTCACGTCTGTGTGGCCTGCACAGCTCAGGAGATGCCCATGCAGGGCCTGAGCCTGGTTTTCCCTTTGGAGACGCTGGGCCTGGCGTCCAGAAGCGGAAACCCGGCCCGGCCACCCTTTGGGTGGAACATGGTGGCCTCCATGCCTTTGCTTCCCGTCACCTCTTCCTTTCTCCTCGCAGATGAATTTAAATGCCCCATCAAGGAGGAGGTGGCGCTGACCAGCGGCGAATGGGAGGTGCTGGCCCGCCACGGCTCCAAGGTACCCGCTTCCCTGCACATGCACCTCCCCCTGCAGCCCCTCCCCGTCCCGACGGGGTGACCCCAGGAAGTCTTGGGTTTAGAGTCCCCATCATCAGACCCTGTCTCCTCTGGGGTGGCTGAAACCTATCCACCCCCCATTGCCGCCTGGGGTGCAGGTAGCCTCCCTTTGTCCCCTAGAACCTGCTCTCGCGGGAGCAGGTTGTCGGGTACCTGGAGAGCCAGGCAGTGAGGATGGCAGGCAGCGCCCCCACCAGCCTTGCAGGGCACCCCACAAAAGGCGCAGCTGCGGAGGGGAGTCTGTCAAGCCGCCTGGCAGGGTCTCTATGTGATTCAGCCTGGCCCTGAACTCTATGCAGCCCAAGCTGGCCTGGAACCCAAGGGGGTTCTCCTGCCTCAGTGTCCCCAGGGCTGAGCTCACAGACGTGACACTGTGCCCAGCTAAAAGTCCAGCGGTGTTCCTCAGGCCAGACTTCCGGATCCCTCCCTCACAGGGAGCACACAGGGCCGCCCCGCAAGCTCCTGCAGATTTTGTGCACCTCTGCCCTCGCATTTAAGAGGCTGTCAGCTTCCTGGGGGGAGCTCCCTCAGGGGCAGCTCCCAGCAGCCTCATTTATGGGGCTGCGTCCCTGTGCTTCTATCCGTCTGGTCCCCCCCACCCCCCTGTATTCGGTTTGAACCCAGGGCCTTCGAGCTGACCTCCACCTCCAGCCTCTACTCCCTGAGGCGTGGCCCAGGTGGGACTTGGACTTGGGCTCCTCCTGCCTCAGCCTCCCCTAGTGCTGCAGTTATCAGTGCGTACCCGAGTGTGCCCTGTGAGGTCCCTGCATGCTTGGGGAGGGGTCCTGCCTGCAGTGTGCTAGGTGCACCCCAGATGGAAGGCTACCCCAGCAGCCCACCCTGGTGCCTGCCACCTCACGCCGGCTCCAGCCACTCCTGCAGGCCTGGCACAGGTCAGGGCACAGAGCTGTACCCTTCTGTCCATGGTCAGGGCAGGAAGGAGTCCTCAACCTTGAGGGGCTCTGAGGTCCTTTTGGGGGGATTGGTCAAAGCAGATGCCCCTTCGGAGACACTCTAACTGCCCCCCAATTGCCGCGCTCAGTCTCTGAGGGACGGGCTGAGTAGGCCAGGGACTGGAGAGTCACAGGGTCTGTCTGCACCGCCCTGAGGGACCGTCCAGCCCGCCAGAGGATGCTAGGTCCAGCAGGGGCCACTCTCAGAGGCGACTGAGCCACACAGGGACATGCAGATTCCCTGACCACAGGCGTGGGGCCAGCAGCGGAGCGACCAGAAGTCCCTGCTGGGCCATGGTGCTGGTCACAGGAGCCCCGTCTCCCACAGATCTGGGTCAATGAGGAAACCAAGCTGGTGTACTTCCAAGGGACGAGGGACACGCCGCTGGAGCACCACCTCTACGTGGTCAGCTATGAGACGGCTGGGGAGATCGTGCGACTCACCACGCCCGGCTTCTCCCACAGCTGCTCCATGAGCCAGGTGGGCACCGCCCCTGTGACCCCGTCGAGTCCCCAAGGGCGAGCCACGCTGTCCTGGCCACAGCCAGGCTGCAGTTGGGGGGGGGGGGCAGAGCCGCCTGCTGGGCCTCGAGACGACCCAGCACCCCAGGCCTGTCAGGTCTGGTCCACCTGGTCCATACGGAGGCAGGGGGGTGTTGTGTGGCAGGAGGGACACCCGGGGTGCAGCCTGCACCCGCGTCCCTTGGTGCAAGCGCCCTGCCCTGCCGCCCGCAGAACTTCGACATGTTTGTCAGCCACTACAGCAGCGTGAGCACGCCGCCCTGTGTGCACGTGTACAAGCTCAGCGGCCCTGACGACGACCCCCTGCACAAGCAGCCCCGCTTCTGGGCCAGCATGATGGAGGCGGCCAGTGAGTGGCGGGCGCCCCAGGACCCTGGCTACCAGCAGCCAGAGGGAGGCGGTGGGCGTCTGCTCGGAGGGGCCGCCTGGCTTCTGCCCCGCCCTTCCTCCTCCTCACCGCAGCCCCGCTGGGCTGCAGTTGGTCATGGTGGTGGGGCACTCAGGAGACTGGGGCGGGAGGATCGCAGGGTGCGTGAGGCCAGAGGCCAGCCCAGTGTAGTTTGGGGTAAACCTCAGCCCCAGTGTCACAATTGGACAACCAGCATCGCTTTATAAAAAATCAGACCAGCAGCAGACATGGTGGTATCCCTGTTATCCCAGCAGCCTGGGAGGCTGAGGCAGGAGAATTCAAGCCAGCCGTGGCAACTCAGCGATATAATAAGACCTTGTCTAAAAATAAAAACTAGAAGGGCAGTTTCCAGAGCCCGCTGCTAGGTTCGGTACTCAGCGCCACAGGAGAGAAGGGAGGAGAAAGGGCGAAGCCGGGCCGCAGCCTCTACAGAGCTCTCTGCCCTGCTGTGTGCTAGTCTGGGCACACCCAGGCAGCGAGGGCAGGGCCCTGGCCACACGTTCTTGGGGCACTGAATGGGGGGTCAGCTGGGCGGGGACAGGCTTCTCAGCCCCAGGAACTGTCCAAATGGTCCCACTGGCTCACCCTGGCCGCGCCCCCCAGGGCTCCCCTTCAGTCACCTGCAGACTCCCGCAAACCCTCTGGAAGGCCAGAGCAGAGGGCAGCTTTCCATGCCCGCTTCGAAGCTTGGGTGACGCCAGCCCGCACCTCTGCCCGGAAGTCACAGACACCCCCACCCCCGCAGGCTGCCCCCCAGACTATGTGCCCCCCGAGATCTTCCACTTCCACACGCGCTCAGACGTGCAGCTCTACGGCATGATCTACAAGCCCCACACCCTGCAGCCGGGCAAGAAGCACCCCACCGTGCTCTTCGTGTATGGGGGCCCCCAGGTGGGTGCACCTGGCCCCTCCCCAGCCCCCTGGCCTGGCGGCGTCCCCGGTGGGCACTCACGCCCCTCGCCCCACCCCACCCCCAGGTGCAGCTGGTGAACAACTCCTTCAAGGGCACCAAGTACTTGCGGCTCAACACGCTGGCGTCCCTGGGCTACGCCGTGGTGGTGATTGACGGCCGGGGGTCCTGTCAGCGGGGGCTCCGATTCGAAGGGGCCCTGAAAAACCAAATGGTAACTTCCTGCCTGAGGCTCGTGTGGGAAGGGGAGCCCTGGGTGTCAGGGGGCGGCCTCCAGCTCACGTGCAGACCGTCCTGGCTGGGGTGACATAGGGAGGCACCTGCTTTGCTGCTCAGCTCTGAGCTGGGCCCAGAGGAACACGGCCCCGGGGGACGGTGGAGCAGGCTGGGCCCACAGGGGCAAAGGGGACTCTGGCCGTAGCTATGGCTGTAAGGGTGGTGGTGACAGTGACAGCCCTGTGTCCCCCCATTCGTACCACTCTCCCAGAACGTCCCCGCTGTGTGGCCCAGTTCTGGAGGAAAGGCTGCAGGCTCTCGGTGCCCGCAGGACAGGCGTGGGCGGGGATGTCTGGGTCGGTGCCTCGCTGCCCCCTGGGCGCCCCCTGGAGGCTGGGACCCACGTGGAGGAAAGGATGAGAGGGACAGACAGCGACAGACAGGCCTCCTTTTAGGCGGCTCCTAGCCTGTCATGGGGGAGCCCCAGAACACAGTCCCAGGATTGGCTCCTGGAGGGAAACTGTCCCCCAGTGCTTGGCAGAGGTGACAGCGGGTCCTGACGACAGTGACTGCAGTGACTGACGGGGGGGGGGGGGGGACGGGACACAGGAGCAGCAGCCTGCGTGGGGCTGCGCGTGGCTGCGGGGCTGCCCTGGACGGGCCACTGAGCCTGGCGGCCTCCCCCAGGGCCAGGTGGAGATTGAGGACCAGGTGGAAGGCCTGCAGTTTGTGGCCCAGAAGTACGGCTTCATCGACCTGAGCCGGGTGGCCATCCACGGCTGGTCCTACGGCGGCTTCCTGTCGCTCATGGGTCTCATCCACAAGCCGCAGGTGTTCAAGGTAGGCCCCGCCCCCCGCGCCACGGCCCCGCCCCTTCCGCCGGCCCCGCCCACGCCACCGAAGCCCCGTCCCGGAGGCACCCGCCAGGGCCCTCGCCGCCACGTGGCTGTTTCTCCGCAGCAGCCCCACGGGGCCGAGCCCCCCTCCTCATTGCCCGCCACCGCAGACCCCAGGATGGCGTCCGGCCGCACAAAAGCCCCAGCCCGCCGGCAGCTCTCTGTGGGAGGCTGAGCCCGGGACCCTGGCCTCGGAAGGGCAGAGGTGGGGCATGGTGTGGAGTTCGGGGAGGGGGCCCAGGCCGGTGGCGCAGTCGGGGCACTGGGGCGGCGGCCACGAGGAGGAGGAAGCGGGGCCGGGCCCTCCGTCCTCCCGCGGTGCCCTCCTCCCCGGAGCAGCACACCGCCCCAGGGACAGCCCTGGGGACACCCGGCCAGGGTCTCTTCCCTGCCACACGCATGCATGACCAGTACCACGCCTCCGGGGAGGCCCGGACAGTGGGCAGCTCTGCTCCTGACCGACGCCCCTCTCTCTCTCCGTTTCTTCCCCCACCCCTCGCCTGTTGTGCCCCCCAGGTGGCGATCGCGGGCGCGCCAGTCACCGTGTGGATGGCCTACGACACGGGGTACACGGAGCGCTACATGGACGTGCCTGAAAACAACCAGCAGGGCTACGAGGCGGGCTCCGTGGCCTTGCACGTGGAGAAGCTGCCCAACGAGTAAGGCCCTGCCCACCCTGAGCCTCGCCACGATGGAAGATAGTTCCGGCTTCCCCCATAGCCTTTCCCTAAAGTGCTTGCCACAAGCCTTTATTTTGTTGTCATTTGTCCCACTGGGGACGGAATCCAGGGCCTTAGAGCTGCATTCCCCGCCTTTTTTATTTGAAACAAGGCCTCTAAATTGCTAGATTTCCCTGACTGCTTGGATTGCCATCCTCCTGTCTCAGTCTCCAAGGCTGCAGGGAGGGCAGGCGTGCGCCATTCTCCTCGGCTTTGTGCCCTAAGTGTAGCGTGGGCTCCTTGACCCAGGACACTGCTGTCTGATGGCCACTATGCTCTACACCATGGTCATCTACCAGGGAGACAGCGAGAGGGTACAGGCACCCTGATGTCCCCTTCAGGCCTTGGCTTCTGTGCCTTCTCTGGTGTGTCCCTAGCTGGCTGGTGTCCCAAGGTCTCACGCAGCCACCTGCAGGTCTGCTGGTGCTCCTGCCCAGGACCAAACACAAAGGTCACGTGCAGCCCGGCCTCGGCCACCAGCAGGGGGCGCACGAGTGCACAACCCCATTCACTCATGAATCCGTGGATCAGCAGTTCATTGACCGAGAGGTGCCGGGGCGCAGGCAGCACAGGGGCGCCAGACACCGCTGAATCCCTTCGCCTCAATACAGTTACCTTAGCTTAAGTAAATTGGGAAAGACATTCTTTTATAAAAGGAAAAAAAACCATGCCTGGAGGCATGTGATTATCATCTTACTACTCTGGGAGACTGAGGTAGGGGGACTGCACATTACAATCCAGCCTGGGCCCTTTGACGGGGCCCTGTCTCAAAATTTTAAAATTTAAGTTTCTTAAAAAATTAGGGCCGGGGTCGGTGATTTAGCACAGCGGCTCAAGTGCTGACCCTTAAATGCAAGGTCATGAGTTCGATCCCCAATACAAAAATAAATAAAAATTAGGGCCGGCCTGGGATTTAGCTCAGCAGAACAAGCGATTGCCTGGCAAGCACCAAGTCATAAATTCGATCTTGTACAAAAAAAAAAAAAAAAAAAAAAAAAAAAAATTAAAAATTAAGGCTGGGAATATAGCTCAATAGCACAGCCCCAGCTTGGCTGTCCTGATTTCGATTCCCAGTACCAAAAATAAAATAGAAACCAGGGGTGCCAGTAATTTCAGCACTCTAGAGGCCGAGGCAGGAGGATCCCCTCGAGTTCCAGGCCAGCCTGGGCTACATGGGGAGTTCAAGGTCATCCTGAACTACATGGCCAGAGGCGAGACCCTGACTCAAAAAAGAAAAGGATTTCCGTCTTTAGGGATTCTGGCCATTCCTACACTCAGCAGCCACAGTGGGATGCACAAGCCAGGGTGGGTTTAGAATGTCACCCAAGGGTTCCCGAGGTGTGCGCACCTCTCCCTCCCTGCATGGAGCCCTGCCTGCCTGCCTGCCTGCTGGGTCACCAGGGCAGGAGACATACTGAGCCCCGCGGCGCCTAACCTACCCGCCCCGCCCCATCCTACAGGCCCAACCGGTTGCTGATTCTCCACGGCTTCCTGGATGAAAATGTGCACTTTTTCCACACGAACTTCCTCGTCTCGCAGCTGATTCGGGCGGGAAAACCTTACCAGCTCCAGGTGCGTGGCCTCTGGTGCCTCGGGCCCGCCAGGGAAAGACCAGGCTCCCTAGGGTGCAGGAGGAGACGCGGGAGAGCCCGGCACCGGGCTTAGAGCGGGAAGGAGGGACGGGGCGGGGCCGGGCCGGGTGATTGACAGGTTGGCTAGGCGGGGCCTCGGGCGAGGTGGGTGGGCTGTAGTGGGAGGCGGAGCTTAGCCTGAGTGCGGGGCTTTAGTGATGAAGTTAGTGGCCCAGGAAGGCTTCAGCTGGGGATGGGGCTGAGCTGCTGAGCTCAGAGTTTTATCAGAAGGGGGTGGGGCCTCCGAGGGGCGCGGCGTCTGTCTAGGTAGAGATCTGTTGTCTGGAACAGATAAAGAACCGGGTCACAGGGCATCAGGGACAGCCTTTTCGGAGCCAGGCCTCCGCAGGTCCTGACACGCTGGCCAGGGAGGGAGGAGGAGAGCAGAGTCCCTGTTGGATGAGGAGCTGGTGGGGGGACAGGCTCGCTGGCAGGTAGTGAGTCCTTTCCGAGGTCTAGGCTGGGGACAGTGGCCTCAGACTTGTGACCCATCCAGGGATGGATGGAAGACCCATGGTGGAGGGGCAGGCCCTTGGCATCTGTGAGGCAGATGAGACCGGGGGTGGCCACAGGCCAGGGCACCAGGTGCCTGAACCCTAAAGACCCCCTGAGCCTTCTGCTCCTCCAAGATCCAGGAGCCTGTGGCCTTGCTTTCCTGGGGCACCCCACTTCCGGAAGCCAGCCCGGTTCCCCTCTCCCTTGCAGATCTACCCCAACGAGAGGCACAGCATCCGCTGCCCCGAGTCGGGCGAGCACTACGAGGTCACGCTGCTGCACTTCCTCCAGGAATACCTCTGAGCGCCACGACGGCTGCAGCCACGCCTCACATCACAGCACAATGCCCGGGCCAGGCCAGGGACCCAGTGACCCATGGCCGCCCCCGGGTCACGCGCCAGGGGACAGACTGCGGCCCAGGAGGAGCCCGACACCCCAGCATCGCGGCCTTTACCGACCCAACAACTTCCAGCCCCTTTCCTGTTTTCAGTTTTCTTTTGTTTGTTTTTGCTCCACCGCTCCTGGTTTGTTTGCTTGTTGCTTCTTGGTTGCCAGGACAGTGCCAGGGGCCGATCCCCAGTGGCATTGCCCCAGGCCGCCCCTCCCCCCCCAAGAGGGGGAGGCCACAGCCCCACAGGGCATTGGAATGGCCACGGCCCAGGCGCCAGGAGAGACTGGGGGAGCCAGGCTGGAAGCTGGGGGGCCCTGTTCCTGGGCCGCCTCTACCCTGATGGCCTCGGTCCCCAGCACAGCAGCATGCGAATGCCTGTCTCCCCGCGGCCACCTGCTTGTGTCCCTGTCCTCTCTGGGGGGCGTTTTACATAACTATTTAACAGTCAGAGAGCAAGGGAGACCCAGAATCGGGGTGCGTGGCCAGGCAGCGGGGTGTCCCAAGCGCAGGGGACAGAGCAGCCAGGGCCTGCTGGGCGACGGCTGTGGACATAGGAAGCCCTGCCTCTGGCCGCCCTCTGCAGCCACCCAGCCTCTCCCGTCTGCCTGGGGGACACCGGGGTCCTGGGTTGGGAGCGGGACCTGTGCCCACCGTGGGGACCTGGTCTCGCTTCCTTCCTCTCCCCGCCGAGGGTTCCGGCAAAAAGTAAAAAGAAAACAAAAGACAAAAAAAAAAAAAAAAAAGGAAGAAAAGAAACCACCTCTACATATTATGGAAAGAAAATATTTTTGTCGATTCTTATTCTTTTATAATTATGCGTGTAAGAAATAGACTCATTAAACAACCCCAGATGGGAAGCTGTCACCTGCCTGAGGCTCCTGAGTCCTGGCGCTGCCCAGGGGGATGAGGGCCTGGGGCCACCCTAACAGCACAGACCACCATGCTCAGTCCCCTTTCCAGAGACTTCTGGAACCCCACTCAGAATCTCAGTACAGTCGGCACCTGTCACCCCAGCTGCTCGAAGGCTGAGGCAGGAGGATCACAAATTCAAGCCTAGGTCTCAAAGCGCTTTGGATGCAGCTCAGTGCGAAAGCCTTGGCGGTTTTGTTCCCAGCCCCACTACCAAAGACACTTCAGAACAAAAAGCATGTCTGCAGCTGGGTGTGGTGGCTCAGGCCTGTGATCCCGGCACTGGTAGGCTGAGGCAGGAGGATCCACACAAGTTCAAGGCCTGCACTGCACAGTGAGTTCCAGACCAGCCAGAACTGCAGAGTGAGACCTTGCTCCAAAAAATAAAGTACAGTTGGAGGGAAGCTGTGAGCCCAAGTGCGGCCACCTAAGTCGCACATCTGGAACCCTCAGTGCCCGTGTCTGCCCACAGGCAGGTATTCTTCCCTGCCTTAAGGTTGGCACTGACTGCCTCTGAGCTGTTAAGCCATGCCCTTAGGTACCGCATGAATCTGCTCACACTGTGTAACCATCCTGGGACTTACTTCCCCAAGCCTCTATCGAGGGACACCACCCTTACAGCACAGAAGTGGCCTTAGACAAAAGGCACATGAGTGGCTGTGGCCGTGTGCCAATAAAGCTTTATTTACAGAACTAGGCAGCCAGCCGGATGTGACCTACAGACCAGACTGCACCAACCCCTGGTATAAATGCTCTGGGAAAAAACAGCTCCTTAGGAGCCTTGGGTGCCACCTGAGTTCATATAGTGATTTCCTAGAATTGTCAAAGGTAGATGCAAGGCCTTGTGACACGCCCTCGTCTCCAAACTAGGAGGCTGAGGCAGGAGGGTGCCAAGTGAGAGCCCAGCCTGGGACACTTGGTGACCTAGCCAGACTCTGTCTCAAGAAAAGGCTGGGGATGGAGCTTGTATTAAAGCCCTGGGTAGCACCAAAAAAGAAAACCAGAAAATTCACATGCAAATTTCCAGAGTATTTCCAAAGTGCCTTCCAAAGAGAATCATTAAAATTCACTCCCCGAAGACGGAGGGAACCCCAGAGCGTGGTCGTTGCATTATTCCTGCACTGTAGCACGTGTTAAACATTGCTTCCTCAGTCGCACAAGTAGAAGGTAGCAAATCTGGTCGGCACTCAGCTCCCTTGCACAGGAGATCTCTGCATGTGTGCAGAAATGTTTCCTAGTGCAGTGTTCTACCCTCTCCCCCCTCCCCTTCACCTGCTGGTCCCACTGATTTGCAGGAGCTCTTTGTATATGAAGGCAGTCAAGGCACTGTCAGATGCATGGCCAGACTGTGTGTGTTCTCCTGGCGGAAGCTCAGCCATTACAGCATTAAATCCTTCTGTTAGCTGGTGAAAGTGAGTTCAAGGCCAGCCTGGACTACATAGTGGGACCATCTCAAAATAACAGACAAAATCATCAAGCCCTGAGTTCACATTAACTCCGGGGGAGCTGCCTCCTCCTGCACAAGCCTCCGTAGTTCTCTGGGGCCGACCCCCCTCCTCCCTCCTGTCTCAGAGCCTCAAACAGTGCACGGAGGGGCAGCTTGGGGCTGTCTGTGATATCTTCCTTCCAGACTCTGTCTTCATTAGTCCAGAGGACACGGAAACATCAGATTAACACTTCCCCCTCCACGCCTGCAGTTTCCTGAAACTTTAAGCAGGTGGGTGCCTGTAATCTCGGTACGCAGAAGGCCGAGGCAGGAGGGTTGCTGCAAATCTGACATCAGCCTGAATTATAGAGTGAGACCTTTGTGTTAACAAAACAAAATGAAACAAGACAAAACTAAGCATGAATGACTCCCTTCCAAGGCTGAAAACCTGGGCCCCACTTTGTGACAGCTGATGAGAGTCCTCACGGTGCCAAATCCCAGTAGGATCTTTGCCTAAGTCCCCTCCCTCAACCTCCTTAACGCGCCTGTGAGGGAGAGATTATGCTCTTCTCTTTATTCTGAAATAATTTTAGGCCCCCAGAAGTGTCTCCGAAGTTGTACGGGGCTGGCTAACACCTTCTCCCAGCTTCATGGAGCTCTGACACCTTACTCGACAAAGTACAAACTGAGTCCTGAAGCCAGGAGATCAGCTCTGCACGATGCCATCCAGGAACCCCAGTACCTCCTGGAGCTGGGCCGGCGGGCTCTGCACCCCTTTGTGGTTCAGGGTCTCACGCTGCGTCCTGTGATTGTCTCCTCAGTCTCTAATGGTTCCTCAGCCTCTGTTCCAGTGAACTGCCAGCTGTTCCATACACTGTCCCTCAGAAAAAAATTTAAAAATAAAGAATGTCCCTCAGTTTGGTTTTGCCCAGCGATGAGCTCAGGATCAGACAGTGGTCGTGCATTTCTGGCAGAGTCCCAGAGGATTCTGGGACTGTGCCCTTTCATCAGCGGGTCGAGCTAGCATTCTCTTTATTACGGGCATTACGCTACCCCACTGTCCACCATAAAATTGCCATATTTGTGGTTAATAAGTACCTTAGGGAAAAATACTTAAAGGCTATGCAAATATTCTCTTTTTCCTCCTCCTCTTCTTCCTCCTTCTGCTTTTGAGACAGGGTCTCATTATGCAGTTCAGATGGGCCTAGAACTCACAACGATTCTCCTGCCTCAGCCTCCCAAGTGCTGGGACTACAGGTGTGCACCACCATGCCTGGCTATGTCCTGCTTCTTATTCTATTTTCTCCTTCTTAATTGCTTTTCAGCCATAAGAAAATTGTTAATGAGCAGCATTTTAGGTTGCAGTTAATTTTGATCTAAAAATGATTTCCATGGTGAAAAGAAAAAACCCCACTATGTTTATAGTTAGCAATCTACTCAGTGAAATGTCAAGAAAGTTATGTCCAACAACAGTTATCTGCAAATGCTGTTAGCACTGGCATCATATAAAATGGATAGGCAGCCAGGTGTGGTGGTGCATGCCGTAATCCACCACCCAGCAGACTGAGGCTGGAGGATCACTGCAAGTTCAAGGCCAACCTGGGCTACATTAATGAGATCATACAAAAACAAACAAAAATTTATAGTCAATGTTAGGGATAGAGCTCTGCGGCATAGAGCCTTCTTGGCAAGCCTGAGGTCGTGGGTTCGATTCCCCATACCAGGAAAAAAAATAAAGGGCACGAAAAACAAACATAAAGGAATGCCTTCTTGAAATTTAATTTAGAAATATAATTAAATATGTAATACAGTATTACATAGTGTCCGGCATGGCGATGCATGTATCCCAGTACTGTAGGAGGCTGAGGCAGGAGAATGGCAAGTTTGAGCCACCGCAGGCCACTTGAGTTAGGTAGACGCTAGCTCGAAATAAAAAATAACGCTGGAGATGTAGCTCAGTGTGGATGCCTCGGCTTCAATCCCTAGTACCAGAAGGCGAGAAAGACATTTTTAAAAGATAAATTTCAAGTGAAAACTAAGACCCTCTCGCGTCTTTTCCACTGGCTTGGGTACTCTCTGAGGACCCGGGCGGCAATATTTACAAAGCGTTCATTCAACGAAGACCGAAAGCTTGCTTCCCACGGGCACTCATTGGAAGAGTGGTACCGCTAATCACAGCCGCCCTAAGCCCCGCCCCAATGTGGCCCCTCGGCAGTGAAAGGGGCGGAGATTGCGGGTCACGTGACCGCGGGACGCCGACGTGGCCCGCAGCGCCCGCCCCACGTGTCCCTCGCCGCGCCTCGTCCGCTCGTCCCCGCCCGCAGCTCCCGACTCCAAGATGGCGGCGCCCAGCAGAAACAGGGTGGGCTGTGGCGCGGCCTGCTTTGCCGCGCTGCTCCTGGCGGCAGTGGCTCTGAGGCCGGCGGAGGCGGTGTCTGAGCCCACGACGGTGGCCTTTGACGTGCGGCCCGGTGGCGTCGTGCATTCTTTCTCCCAGAACGTGGGGCCCGGGGTACGTGCCGGGTGTGCGAGGAGGGTCGGGGTTGGCGGGGGACGGGGGACCCGGGCCAGGGCGGCTCGCGGCCTCCGGGGGTGGGGACCGCATTGCGGGGAAGCGCTGCGATAGGGGCGTCCTGGAGGGGGCGGGTCCCAGCCTCGGCGCCCTTTGCCGGTCACCGCGCTCGGCGTCCGGGGCGCCCCCGGCTGGCTGGAAGGCCGCTCCGTCGGCCCCCTCTCCTGCTGGGACACTGTTTCCGTGGGCGCGCCTGTGGAGCGCTTCCTCCTAGCCCCGTGGTTCGCCAGGCACGGTGTCGGTCAAGCCCGTTTGACAGATGGGGAACTAGCAGCTCGGAGGTTTTTATTTTACTTTCGGAGGGTTAGTGGCGCTCGCCTGGAATCGGAGCCCGTGGGAGGCTGAGGCAGGAGGATTCCTGCGAGTTAGAGTCCAGCCCGCATTAATAGGGACAACTTTTTTTAAAAAAGAAAAAAAGGTCCAGGGCCCTAAATGTCTGCTCTCAAAGCACTTTTCTGCAGGGGTGGAGGGAGCATGGATTGTTTCTCATGACGGCGGAGCCAACTGGAAGGGAAGGAGGCCGGCGGGGCAGCTCCAGGTCTCACTGGAGCTGACCCCACTCCCGATTCTGCAGGGCCTGAAACCCTGTGCCTCGGCCCTAAGGGTTGCCTCTTACCAAGCGTTTTTTTGCTCCCCTTTTCTAGGACAAATTTACCTGTATGTTCACTTACGCATCTCAAGGAGGGACCAATGAGGTGAGTTGTTCTGAATCCCTCCCCTGCAGGGTCGCTGTCCAGGGGTCAGTGCGCTCTTGGGCACCACAGTGGGTACCCTTTGAGCCATTTTTGCTGAGCCAGGAGAAAGGGACAGTGCTGCCATCAAACAATGATGGCAGATTCTGCCCTTTTTGGTCCACAGAGCAAACAGGTATCTAGACAAAAAGAACAGCGGGGCTGTGACTCTGTCGCCCCTTTTGTATCTGCTCGGGTTGTATTCCTCGTCTCTGTAGCAAAATCCTACAGACAATTCCCAAGCATGGTGGCAAAGCACTCTTGGGAGGCTGAGGCAGGAGGATCGCATGTTCTAGTCCAGCCTAGACAGTTTAGCAGCCTAGTGAGACCCACGTTGGAAAGAGAGTTAGGGATGGAGCTCAGGGCAGAGGCTCTGGGCTCAGCCCCCAGTACCAGGACAAAAACTCATATGGGGAGGAAGCCGTGCACAGACTGTGGCCACAAGCCAAGGGAAATGGGGCCACTTGGAGCTGGAGGAGGCAGGGAGTGGGTGCCTGCAGCCACTGGACTTGGGGCTCCCAGCAGCGTGACAATGAGGTCTTGTCCTTTTCCACCGCTGGGCATGGGCTGCATTGCTCGGGTAGCTACTGGGGACCCCCCTCCAGCCATAACTCACTGCCTCGGGACTCGGATTATCCTTGAGCTGGGCCACACAGCGTCCCAGAAAAGGCACAGGCCACAAGGCAGATCCGATGATGTCAGGGAGGACAGGAGTCCGTGTCATGCTTTCCTACCTGCACTCCGACAGCAGGAGGCAGTACCCCACTTCTGGGCTGGTGCCCTCAATGAAGTCTAGAGGTGGAGGTGCCCGGAGGCCTGAGGGCCTCTGCCTGAGGACAGGCTCTGAGGGGGACAGCAGTGTTAACGCCTCTCCGTGGCGGCCTCAGGATCGGGGCTGTCTCCTGGACAGCAGGGCAGGGTGTGCCCTGGGCTCCCAGGCACTGCAGGGGCTGAGCAGCGAGCATCCTGGCCTCCACTGCTGCATCCCGGGAGCTCCCCAGGGTGACGGCTGCCGGGCACCAGGCAGGCACACTGGGTGGCACCTCGTCACCGCTGTGCGCTGACCAGCGCTGACCATGTGGCACCGACCAGAGCTCGCAGGCCCTGAGTCCTTGGCGGCCACTGAATTGGGATCAGGGTATGGACAGCTTCCTCCCAGGGCAGCAGGCTGCTTGAGGTGGCCCTCGGTGCCCGCCTGGCACATCGGGATGAGCTGGCAGTGTCAGCCTCAAGGCAAGAAGTTTCCATGGGGCCCAGGGAAGGGGGAGCCAGGTGTGGTGAGGGGACACGGGACTTGGTTCCTCTTTTACTGTGTTGTTTATCTTTGCTTTTTTTTTGACAAGGTCTCACAGAGCCACTGAGTTTCCCGGGATGGGTTCAGACTCGGGATCCCCCTGCCTCAGCCTCCCGAGCGCTGGGATGAGGGGTGTGCCCCACATGGCCAGCTGGAGCTGGGTCCTGCAGCTCTGCTGCCTGGCTTGGAGGCCCCCGGGGACTCTGCCCCGTTTCCTCTGCTGCTGACTCAGCCACGCGCCCGCCACATCCCTGGGCCCGGCTCCTGCCGTGCACAGGGCACCAAAGCCTCGTGGCCGGGTCCTGTGGGGACAGCTCAGCAGGGGAGGTCTGCGGGAGGCCAGGCCAGTGGTGCCCCGAGCTCGGAGCTCCCAGGACCCCGCTGGTCCCTGAAGGCCTGGGGCGGGTGCTGGAGAGGGCAGCGTCTTGGTGTGGGGGACACACGGTGACGGCAGGGCAGAGCCCACGGGACCCTGGGGAGCAGCGTCAGCCTGGGCGTGATGGGGCCTTCAGAGAACCGGGGCGCTATGTCCCAGAGTGCGCGGGTCTGTTTTGCTGGCTCCAGATCCTGGAGAAACGGCATCCTCTGCTTTCCTTAAATGCAGTTTATGGGCAGGCACACTGGGACCATGCAGTGACCGCGTTCCGTCTCCTGCAGCTTTTCCTTCCTGTTCCCCAACCCTCCTCCCCCCTCCCCCCTTCCCCCTCCCCCCTTCCCCTCCCTCCTCCCTCCCTCCTCCCCCCTCCTCCCTCCTCCCCCCTCCCTCCCTCCCTCTCCGCCCCTCCTCCCTCCTTCCTCCTCCCCTCTCCCTCCTTCCCTCTCCCCCCTTCCCCCTCCCCCTCCCCCTCCCTCCTCCCTCCCCCCTCCCCCCCTCCCCCCTCCTCCCTCCTTATTTACAAAGCTTGGTTTCCAGTTTTTCCTCCTTTTCTTGTTTGTTTTATTTTCTTTCCCCCTCACGCTCCCTAGTTCTCTTTCCCACTTAAATGTTTTCTTCCTAAGAAATGTTACTTTCTTTGTTCTCGAAAAATAGAATATCACCCAGTGTGGTGGCGCACGCCTGTCCTCCCAGCACTCAGGAGGCTGAGGCAGGAGGCTCGCCGTGAGTGTGAGGCCAGCTGGGCTGCGTAGGGAGACCCCGGCTAAGACAAACCCAACAAATACATGCACGCAGCTGGCAACAGTGAGCCCTCGGAGCTGGGGTGAGCAGGCCGCCCTGACCCGGAGCCGCCCAGAGCCCCCTCAGCAGCCAGGAGGCTCCAGCCAGCTCAGGGAACCAGACCGCAGGAGAGGGGCTGGCTTTGTGGTTTGTTTTGTTTCCTTTTGGCTGCTGGGGGTGGAACCCCGTCCCCAGCCCTTGATCGTCCATTTTGAGGCCAGGTCTCCTTAAGTTGCCCAGGCTGGACCAGAGCGTGGGATCCTCCTGCCTCGGCCTGCTGAGTGCTGGGATGACAGGCGTGCATCCTGTTGATCGCACCTGTCCCAGCCGCTGTGTGAGGGGGGCTGTCCCCCACCTGGTGTGTCAGCAGTGGGCCCTGACTGAGGGAGGACCTTGCCTGTGGCCCCCCACAGTCTCCTGCTCCCCTCACCTTCTGGGGCCTGGGGCTGGGCAGGGCAAGTCCTCCTGAGAGGCCTGCCCCGGGAGGCCAAGGCACAGAGGGTCCCCGGCCTGCAGAGCAGGAGGTGGATCCTGCAGCCGGACCCTGCTGACCCCTGTCCCCTCTCCCCAGCAATGGCAGATGAGCCTGGGCACCAGCGAGGACCAGCAGCACCTCACTTGCACCATCTGGAGGTGAGTGCAGATGAGGCGGCCCATGCCCAGCCCCTTTTCCTGGCCAAGTAATAGTCCACGCAGGACAGCGCAGTGCTCAGCCCTCAGGCTGCGCAGGCAGGAGGCCTGGAGCTGCCGTCCGGACATTGCAGCAGCTTAGGGTGGAGGAGCCGCCAGTGTCTGGGGAGCTGGCGGTGGGCGGGATGGGGCATCCCCAGGACCTTCGGGGAGCGGGGTGGCGGAGGTGCGGGGCTCTGGGCTCAGACTGCTGCCCCCGCAGGCCCCAGGGGAAGTCTTACCTCTACTTCACCCAGTTCAAGGCGGAGGTGCGGGGCGCCGAGATCGAGTACGCCATGGCCTACGTGAGTGCGGCCTGTGTGGACGGCCTGGGGCCCTGGGCAGTACCCTGCTGCGCTCCCCCAGACCCCACGGGAAAGAGCAGCCCCACCCTGGGGCCCGCTTCACCCAGGAAGGGAACACAGCAGGGGGTGGGTGGGTGTCGGGGGTGGCGCCCAGCTGTCACCCCGGGTGCCAGGTGCCGGGCCGAGGCGGGGCTGCGGGTGGGAGCAGGCTCGGCAGCGTAGCAGCGCTCAACAGGTCAAAGCCGGGCGCTCCTGAGAGCTGGGGACCCCGGTACACCTGCGCAGCTGCGCCCCTCGGGAGGGGGGCGCTACTATCCCCGACTATGTGGGGGCTTCTAGTAAAGGCCCTACTCGGTCCCTTTCAGTCGAAAGCAGCGTTTGAACAAGAAAGCGATGTCCCCCTGAAAAACGAGGAATTTGAAGTGACCAAAACAGCAGGTAGGTCACCGTGGGGGGTGGGGCCCGGTCTCGGGGTGCACGCCCGTCACCCAGCCTCGGGGAGGCTGAGGCAGGAGGGTGGAGGTTCCGGCCCTGCCCTGCTGCCGAGTGGGCCGGGGCTGCGGCTGTGTCCCAAGACCTCCCTCGGATGCCCTCCAAGCCGGGCGGGGCGCCCATCTGCAGTCCCGGCACTCGGGAGGCTGAAGCAGGGCCTCCACGTGAGCTCAAGGCCACCCTGGGCTGCACGGCAGGACCCTGTCTCCAAAAGGCGGCCTTCTGGGCCCGGCCCGTGCCCAGCCTCCCCGCACTGGGCTGTGACCTCCTCACCGTCAGCAGTCAGCCCCCCAGTGGGTCAGCGGCCTCAGGGACCTTCGGGGCCACCTCCACCTGCTGCCCCCCACTGCTGACCAGGCCTCAGACCCTCAGGACACTCCCGCCTCACACGCTGACTGCCCTTGTCCCTGCAGTGGCCCACAGGCCCGGCGCCTTCAAGGCCGAGCTGTCCAAACTGGTGATCGTGGCCAAGGCGGCCCACAGCGAGCTGTGACCAGCGGCGATGCCCGGAGCACTGGTGGGTGGCCCGCCTCTTGGGGGCCCTTGGTGTCCTGCGCCAGTGGCCCCGCTCAGTGGTGCCATGTTGGAGAAACTGCCGCCCGCCATGCTCCGGAACTGCAGGGACCTGCTGGGCACTGGAGCCCAGGACTCAGCGCCACCGTCCCCAGGGACCTGCTCTGAGACGAACTGGGAAGACACCAGATGTTTTTATATTTAAATAAATAAGAAAAAACAGCTCTGTGCGGGCCTCCTGGGCGCTGTGAGGGCCCTGCCAAGCGGAGCGGATGCCAAGTACCGGCGGGTCAGCACCGGCTCCCCTCTCCGAGCCCCGAGGGACACCGAGGTCACCCACGGGGACCACATCCCCTCCAACTGTGGTACCAGGGACAGGTGCCCGAGGGCGGATCTGCTGCCCCCACCTGGTGCTCAGTTCTGGTCTTTGAGGCAGGACAGCTTGAAACCCAGAATACAGCCAGGCTCGGCAGTGCCCACCTCTGCGCCTCACTAATTGGGAAGCTGAGGCAGGAGGGTCCAAACTCCAGCCCAGCCCGGACAACTTAGGGAGACATTGTCTAAGGAAAAAGGGCCAGAGCTCCGTCCCCAGCAGTGCTGCAGAAACACCGGAGGCCACACCTCAGGGGGCAGAGGAGGAGACAGTGGCAGGGGGTGCTTTCCTCTAATCCCAGCACTCAGCAGGCTGAGGCAGGAGGATCTCAGCAAGTTCAAGTCCAGGCCGAGCTACAGTGAGACCCTGTCTCAGTCCGTCCTGTTCTCTGCTGTAGGTTTGTGCTAACCTGGTAGTAAGGGCCGTGCGGGGGACGCAGGGACAGCCTGTGCGGTTACACGCGTGGTGCTGAGCCTGGCAAGGTGTGCTTAATTTTGTCCTGTTTTGCTTTTCTGAGACAGGATCTCACTATGCAGCTCGCGCTGGCCCCGGGCTCACTTTGCAGCCCAGGATGGTCTCAAATCGGAATTACCCACTTTCCACTGCCTCCCATCCCGCCCGGCTGCTCCCTCCCGGGCCGCTGCTGGGCTGGGCCGCTTCCGCCAGTAAAACCCAAGATGGCTTTTTCTTTTCTAATTTTTAATTTCCCAAATTGGCTTTTTAAAACAAGCCCTCGAGGAGCCGGCTTGGTGGCGCAGCCCCTCAGCCCAGCACTCGGGAGGCTGGAGGGAATGGAGGGAACGGTGGCCGTGAGCCGGCTTTACTGGTTACGGGCCTTGCAAACTAAGGGAGTGCCCCGCTGGAGTGGCGTCGTGTTTTGAGGGGTTCCTTGTCGGGTGCTCATCTCTTCACTGTAAGAGTTCACAGGGATAACGCCGCCTCGCCCCGTGGGAATATTCCTAGGGGTAACCTCAGGTGTCACCCCCAGCACCGTGCCTGTGTGAGAAAATCGGGGTCTTGGCCCCTGGCTGGGCGGCGCGGGACAGGAGGGGGCTCCCAGTGCAAGAAAGCGGTTGGCTTTTAGGGGTGCACGCCTGTCATCCCAGCCACTCCGGAGGCTGAGGCAGGAGGATCACAAGTTCCGGCCCAGCCGGGGCCACTGCAGGGAGAGCCTGACTCAGTGGGGGCGGAGGGGGGCGTGGCTGGGGCTCGGGGCTCTGGGGTCCATCCCCGGCGCTGGGGAGGGGGAAGGAAGGCGAGGGTAGGACGGGGCCCTCCTTCCTCGGAGCAGCAGGACAGGGAGGGGTTGGGGGGTCTGCAGCCAACAGGCGGGCGTCACCCCGCGGCTCCACCAGGGGGCAGCAGGGGCGCAGCCCGCGCCGCGCTCTAGACCTGGGCTCCGCGTGCTGCCCGGGAAGCCGGCCCTGCTCCCCCTGCTGCAGCCTCGAGGTCTGCACGGCGCCTGCCTCCTCCGCCTCTGCGTGGCTCCATTGATCCACTTCCTGGGGTGCCGGGGACGGAACCCCGGAACAACAATAGCTTTAACAACAGCGCCTGGGTCCCACCCGGTCCCAGAGCCGGAAGGCGAGGTCAAGCGAGGTCAGGGTCGGCTGGTCCTGAGGCTTCGGGGACCCCGCCCCACCTGTCCCTAGCGTCTGGAGGGGCGCATCCTGGGTGTCCCTGGCCTGTGCAAATGTCACTCCGCACCCCCAGCCCTGAGATCCACCAGGCGGCTCCAGGGAGCAGCCGGCTTCATGGGGGTCAGCAGGGGCCCCCGGGGACACCGCGGGGGGGGGGACTGGGGGGCCTGGGCTGGGCCTGCGGTCCAGCACGGCTCTGCAGTGTCACAGGTCAGGGACCCAAGACAGTGCGGACTTTACTTTTATTTACTGATTCACTTTTATGCCCGATTCCCGGGATTGAGGCCGGGGCATCACACTGCACCCCCCCAGCCCCCCTTTTTGCTTTAGTTGGACACGGAGCGTTGCTCAGGTGCGCAGGCCGGGCTCCACCTCGAGGTCCTCCTGCTGCGCCTTCCGGGCGGGCGCAGCACCCCGCCGGGTCGCTGTGGGCCTTCGGGGGGCTGGTGCTGACCATTTCAGCCCCCCCCCCGCCCGGGACCCCCAGAGCGCGGGCGGCGCGCTCAGAGCGTGCCGTCCTCCAGCATGCGGCCCAGGCCGTCGCAGATGCGCTCCAGGTGCGAGCGGTAGGGCTCGGCCGGGCCGTAGAGCGCCGCCAGGAAGTCGCCGTCCGCCAGCTGGCCGAAGACGCGGCCGATGCGGCCGTGCGACTTGGCGCTGAGGTGCGGCCCGGCCGCCTGGCGCAGCAGGTCGCGGCACTCGAGCAGCCCGGCGGCCAGCACGCGGCGGTCGAAGGTGAAGGCCACCTGGCGGAAGCTCACGGCCGTCATGGCCAGGCCCCGCGCCCGCTGCCGGAAGCGCCGCAGCCGCGCCAGCTCCTCGGCGCCCAGCCGCCCCGCGCGCAGCAGCACGGCCACCTTCACGGCCACCTTCACCAGGTCCCGGAGCAGCCTGTGCGCCGCGCGCCGGCTGCGCGTGAACTCCCGGGTGGCGCGGAACAGCTCGTCCAGCACCGCGCTGCTCGTGTCGTCCACCAGCGCCGCCACCACCGCCTGGCAGGGCACCTTGCTCAGGACCTTCTTCTGCGCCTGCAGGGCCAGGCTCTTGGTGCTGAAGGGCTCCATGGGCCTGCGGGACAGACGGACGGACGGAGGGACGGACGGTGGGTCGGGGGCGGAACAGCGAGCGGCCCTGCGCCCGGGAGCCCCAGCCCCCCCAAACCTCCCCGCCCTCCCCCAGCTCCCCCCAGCCCTCCCCCCCAGCTCCCCCAGCCCTCCCCCCCCAGCCCTTCCACCCAGCTCCCCCAGCCCTCCCCCCCAGCTCCCCCCACCCCCCCTCCCGCTGCCTCCCCCACCCTCCGCCTTCCCCCCACCAGCCTTCCCTGTCCTGCGCATGCGCCGGGCAGTGATGCCGCCCCAGGCAGGTGGTCGCCTGTGTAGGGGTGGCCCGAGGTGGGTACGCTGGCATAATGGCGCCCCCCTCAGGAACGATGACCTACAGACCCTGGAGGGACCCCAATTCTGGCTCTTAGAAAAGAGGCGGTGGTGCGCGCCCCTCATCTCCAGCAGCTCGGGAGGCCGAGGCAGGAGGGTCTCACGTAGAAAGAGTCTGGCTCACTCAGCAGCTTAGCGCAGCTCCGTGTCAAATGATAAAAAGTGAAAAGGGCCCGGGGTGGCGCTCAGTGGTAGAGCAGCCCGAGTTCCATCACGGAGCTGGGGGGGACAAGCATTTGGGGATGTGAAGTCAAAGGCGACAGTATGCGGGTGCTCAGCCCTCCTCAGTCCTCTCCACATTCTGGGCCCCTCCTGCTGGCTGATGGGATGACGTCACCCAGGCCTGAGCCTTTTGGGTGAAGCCTGGTTACCTGACTCACTGCCCCTGCGGGGTGCACAGGAGACCCCCTAGGGTGGTCTGCCCGGGATGGGCCAAAGGACAGCAGCCTGGACGGTGGCTTCACCTCCAGAATTGCTTCAGAATTCCAGAGCTGGGCCTTCCCTTCCTGCTGAGAACCAGGGGACAGTTCTCCACAGCCTCAGGAGCAAGCCACACACCTCACATACACCTGTGTCTCCCTTAGTGAACTCCTACACATCCCCCAAAGCCCTACCTCTGTCCTGGTGAACCTCTTTGCACTTCCTAAAGCCCAGTCCCCTAGATTCTTTCCGGGCAGAGTCCTCCCTCAGCTCGTCCTATGACCAGGCAGACCCCACCTCCCCAGAGGCCATGGCTGAACTCCCATGGCACCGCTGCCCGGCAGTCCTGGGCCACCCCCTCAGCCTGGGCTGGAATGCCATACGTCCCCCACTCACCCCTGGGACCCCCACAAAGCTATCTTTGTTCAGGCTCAGCATGAGGAGAAGGCCTGGCCCTCAGCCGCCCTCTCCCTGCCCTCTGAGGTCAGGCGTCTGGAATGGCCCCCTGCGTCCCTCTCCCTGTCCCCTGGGCTTGGGCCCACCCGCCATACCTCTGCACTCCCGCCTGATGTCCCCATGTGATCCTGAGCCTCAGGGGCCAGATGCGGTCCCCATGACAGAAGCAGCCCCCCGTGGACAGCTTGCTCCCAGGTCTGATGTCTCAGCAGATACCCTGGCCATGTGTGCCTCAGTTTCCCCAGGTCTAAAATGCAGGCAACAAGAACCAACTTTGTGCTAGGGCAGAAGCTTGTGGCCCAGTCCGAGGGCGCCACAGGCTGTGAGGGTTTTCCTGACCCCACAGGGGACACTCCTCCCTGACACACACTCCCTGAGGCGTCCCACCAGTTTCTCTGGAGCCTTTTCTTCTGTCCCCTTCCTCCACTCTTCCCTCCTCTCCACTATACTCATCAGGCAAACTCCTATTCATCCCTCAAGACCCTCCTCCTTGTCACCTCCTCCTAGAAGCCTCCCAGATTCCCGCTCAGTCCGCAGAGCTCTCAGTCTCCCCCACGCAGCCCCAGGTGGCTCCTCTCCACGTTCACCTTGCTTGGCCCATGATGCCAGCAGGGGCTGTGACCAGCCAGGGACCCCAGCAAGTGTTGGTTGAATATGAGGGAGAAGGGAAATCTGAGGACACGGGAACAGTGGACACCAAGTCCCAGTCCCAAGCTCCCGAAGACGGGCTGAGGCTCAGACACGGGAAGGAGGTCCGGCCGGGCGTGGTGGTGCTGGGGAGGCTGAGGCAGGAGGGCTGCCGTGAGTGCAAGGCCAGTCTAGGTTACATGGTGAAACAGAAATAAAGAGGACAGAGCGGAGGAGGCTCGGGCGCCGCGGGCAGAGCTCTGCGCTCCGTGGCCCTTTCCTTTCCCATCTGCAGGGGGCGAGCTGGGTCTGCCCAGGAGCTGCTCCCCGCAGGAAGAGGGAGGCGGGCGGCTGGGGCCTCCCCGCGGGGTCACCTCCAGCCCAGCCCGTGACCCAGCACCTGGGCCCCAGCTGCGCGGTCTCCTTTCTTCCCCGGGACCCATTGTTCTGCCAGAAAGTCCCGGCGGGGAGGTGACCGCTGACCCAGACCAAGGCCACTGACCAAAATAAACCGGGGTTTCCTTCCTGCGGGGGCAGGGTCTTCCCGTCCCAGTCCCGTCCCCGTCCCCTGTCCACCAATGCCGAAGCACCCCGCGGCCCGAACCAGCTTCACTTAACAAGCACTGACGGCTGGGCGGGGTGGGGCGCGCCTGTAGTGCCCACCCTGGGGAGGCTGAGGCAGGAGGACCCCGAGTTCAAGGCCGCTGACCTGCATCCCCCGTCACGCTCTGAGGTCGCTGCCCCGGGCAGCTCCTGGCTCTGGCACCTGTCCTGGTCCCCATGTGGACGCCCCGCTCCGGGGACCCGCAGATCCCCACCACCACCATGTCCCCTTCAGGGGCTGAGCCGCCCCTGAGCAGGGCAGGGGGCGGCAGGCCTGGTCCGCTCCAGCCTCGCTCGGGGTCCCTCCTCCAGCCTCCAGCCGGCCCGGGCCGGGTCATTCTTGTTGTCGTTTCTGAGACCGGGTCTCACTGTGTAAGTCAAGCTGCCTGCCCCTGCACTTCCCGAGAGCCTCCTGCCTCAGCCTCCCAGAGTGCTGGGATGACGGGCGTGCCCACCGCCTCCAGCTGGACTGGATAATTCCTCTGCACCACCGACTTCTTTAAGAAAACACGGAAGCTTAGCCAGGGCACTCTGGAGGCTGAGGCAGGAGGACGGCAGGCTCGAGGGTTCCGTCCCCATCAATGAAAATGAAGCGCCTGCAGCTCTGTCCACCCATAAGCGTGTCGCCGTCTGTTGTCCCGAGGTGGACGTGTGTGCTGTGCAGTTAATAAAAGTATTAAGTTACATGAGGCCGGACCACGGTGGATTCTCCCAAAAGGCTTCCCCCTGTCGACTGCAACATGACCCGGCAATTAGCAAATGGGGGTCACGGTGTCACCTGGATGCCACCTGATGCCAGCCCTCCACCCACACTCACAGGCCAACATCAATGATTCAACAAACCTCACTGAGAAAATACTCAGGAAACACGGCTTTGCCCTGCGTGGTGGGGTTTCTCCCGTCCGTACTAAACAATTCCAGGGCAAGAGCTATTTCTACAAGCACAGCCGTGTCTGGTACAATGAAGCCTCTCTTGAGGACCTAAAGCCTCTGGGGATAGTTCCCAACCACCAACTTTTTAAAATACACGGAAAAAAACGTGGATTGCAGCCAGGTCTCATGGTGCAGGTCTGAACTCAGCTTTCTGGGAGGCTGAGACGGGAGGATCACAGATCCAGGGCAGCCTGGTACCATCAGGAGCCTCGGTGTAGCTCAGGAATGGGGTGCCCCCCGGGTGGACTGTCGGTACTGGGGCGGGGAAGGTAACTGCGGCCCCCTGTCTGCTGTTGTAAATAAAGTTTTATTGGCACACAGCCGTGCTCATCGCCCTTATGGGCCACGGTGCTTTCTACCAACGCCACGCGTGGTTTCTAAGCTGAAAATATTTGCTGTTGACCACTCATAGAAAAACCTTAGCCCCTGGGCGTGGTGGGGCGCACCTGTCATCCCAGCCCTCGGGAGGCTGAGGCGGGAGGATTGCTGTGAGTTCGAGACCAGCCCGGGCTACACGGTGAGCTCAGGGCCAGCCTGCATTGCATGTGTGGCCTTGTCCCAAAAAGACAAAAGAAAAAAGAAAAACTTTGCCAAACGCTGGTCTAGACAAACCACAGAACATTGGGGGCATCTACTTATTTCCGTGGTATCAAATTTGCCCCCATGGCCAACTGCAGGCCGCTGATTTGACACGGGTGATCCGGGAGCGGCAGGGACACCCTGGACTCCCCCACAGTGAGCCACAGAGGGACAGAACCTCAGGCCGCGGCCGCCGGAACCCTGTGCGAAGCCGAGTTCCTCCCCGGGCCTTTCTTACACCTTTGATTTGGAGTCTGGATCTCACAAGGGGGCCCAGGCTGGCCCCAGACTGGAGATTCTCCTGCCTCGGCCTCCCATCCTATCCTGAACCTTCTTTTAACATAACAGCTTTATTGAGAGGATTCATATCTACGAAATTCACTGATTTAAAGGGTGCAACTCAGTGAATTTTCTATGCAACCACCATGATCTAGTTCCAGGCCATGCTGTCACCCCAAAAGGAACCCCTGACCCTTCAAGGAGCCATGCCGCCCTCTCCCCAGTCCCGGCGCCTCTCAGCCCACTTCTGGTCTCTGGATTCACCTGTGTGGACATTTCCTGTCCACGGAGCCCACGCCGGGCCCTTCCCTCTTTTCTGTAGTACGTGTTACACACAGCCACACTCCTTTTAAAGGCTACATAATACTCCACACCTTTATTTAGTTTGGTACTTTGAGGCAGGGTCTTGCTAAGTTGACCAGACTGGCCTGGACTTTGTGGCGATCCTCCTGCCTCAGCCTCCCAAGTCCTGGGATCGGCTGGAACCCGGGGTCTCCCGCAGGCCCGGCCCGCGCTCAACACTGCGAGATCCCCTGCCACCGCTGATAGTGACCGTAGTTAACAACCCGACGGCAACATTCCCGAGGAGCCGCAGGTGCCCAGTCCCCACCGCATGAATTCTTCATGTCCTCCCTAAGGGCATCAATAATTCACGGAGCCACCCGTCCAGCGGGGCCAGGCCAGCTGCTCTGTGTCTCCTGTCCCAGCCGGCCACGGTGGCCCAGGGTGGCCTCTGCCAGCTGACCGGTGTCCCCAAGTCCTCACACGAACACAGTTGCCACCCACTTGGGAGCTCTTGCTGCCTCTGGGGCAGACGTGCTGACCAGAGAGGGAAGGGGCTGGTGGTGCTCAGCCTGGGCTCCCTGGACCCCTCTGGGCCCCCCCTCGGCTGTCATGTCTGATTCCCTCCCTGGATGCAGTGTCCTCCCCGCAGCAGTCAGAGGGCGCTGTGAGTGAGCACCCAGTCCAGGCCCTCCCTCCTCTGCCCTCAGCCCTCCATGGCTCCCACCTCCCTGAGACCAAAGCCCAGGTCCTCTCTGCAGCCCGCAGATTCTGGCACAGCCCACCTGTCCCCTCCTCACCTCTCCTGCTCCCTGTCCACCCCTCCTCCCTCTGCTCCAGCCACACCGGCCCCTTCTGGCATCACACTGGGCCCCATCCTGCCCCAGGGCCTTTGCACCACCTGCTCCTACTGCCTGAAATGTTTCCCTAGGTCACCACATAGCTTTACATTGTCACTCTGGCCCCGGTTCACCTGTCCCCTTCCTCAGAAGTCCTTTCAGAGTCCCCATCCATACTGCCCCCGATTCTCTTTATCATTTTCATGCAACCAAGCGTATGATTTTCTTGGAGTGAGTACATTCACCTCCCCCAAACCCCACCTTGAGCCAAGGGACGGTGGGCACCAACTGGCTTTTATCATTGCTGGGTCCTTGGAGCCCTGCACCAGGCCAGATTTAGCACAGGTGCTCAGGGCCCATTTGTTGAGTGAATAACTGACTACTCAGCAACAGAGGCAGAATGTCAGTGACCTTAACCAAGGGCCCCACTGCCCAGCAGGGTGCTAGGAGTGAGAGAGAGATGCAGGGTGCAGGTATGCAGTCCCCACCAAAGACCGTGGCACCGTTATCACAACTTTCTTCCAGGACAAAAAAGGGAGACCCCAAGCCAGGGTGGTGGCACACGCCTGTCATCTCAGCACTCTGGGAGGCTGAGGCAGGAAGGTCCCAAGTTCAAGCCTGGCCTGGGCAATCTGACTACCCGGAAGACCCTGTCTCAAAATAACAAAAAGAGGTGGGGATGGAATGTGGGGCACAGGCCCTGGGTTTCCCCCCCAGCACCACACACACACACCTCGGCTCCATCAGACAGATGGGGAAACTGAGTCCTGAAGGACTCAGCTAGCAGTGATTACTTTAGAGCCCATGTGTGGAGTCCTGGGGGTTCACAGATGGGGACACTAGAACAGGGAGTGGCACCACGTAACAGGGCCGGGCCTCTCTCTGGGCTGGACATGCGTTTCCAGGACTCCCATGAGTTTTAGCCCCTCCTGGCCCCATGTGACAAACGGAGACACCGAGGCCTGGACCCCTCCTCCATCACCAAGGAAGCCAAAAGCTCCTCGCACGATGCCCAGGCCTCTGAATGGAAACAGGCCAGGGAACTGGACCCAGCCCAGGCCACAGCTCGGGCCTGGAGTCTACACCAGCGGCCCTGTCCCCCCTCCTGTCCCCAGGCCCGGGGTCCAGCGCTGGCCTCTCTGCACCCCGTCCTTTGTTCCTGGTTTCTCTGGGCACCCAGCCCCAGCTCCTCCTCCGCCCAGCTGCCCCGCCCCGCCCTGCCCCGCAGCTCGGCAGCCCAGCCCGACACCTGGCTGGGTTTGAAATTTGGCGCCAAGGACCTGCCAGGCTGGTGGCGGGCACGGTGGGCAGAGGCCCGAGGCCAGGGGGTCGGGCCGTGTGGGGCGGGCGGGGCTGTGGTGACCGAGGAGGCTGGAGCAGGGGTAGTGACCAGCAGGGCCCCTCCTGCTCCTGACCCTCCAGGCAGCCACCAGATGTGGAATTTTGTTCCCCTGTATTATTATTATTTATTATTAACAGGCCCCTCACACGGAGCTACGTCCCCAGCCTTTCTTAGGTTTATCTGGAGCCCTCTCCAAATAAAACCTCTCCTTGTGTCATCAAGTTGTCTAGTCTGGGCTCAGACCCCTGGTCGCCCTGCCTGGGTCTGAGGGTGCTGGGATTACAGGTGTGCGCCACCCCATCTGGCTCCAGCCCCATTTTACAGATGAGGAAACTGAGGCTCGCCTGATCTGAAAGATGTGTTCAAGACGCCACGGCAGTTGGCAGAGCTGGAATCCAGCTTTCTCTAAGCTCCCCCACCCCTGGGCTGGCTTGGGACCTCGGTGACCCCGGGGATCCCCAGCTGGGCTCGGGAAGTCACCTCGTGTCCTGTTTACAGCTGGGCGCCCCTCTCCCGCATCCGCCACGGAGAAGATGCTGACCGTGAGGCTCCTAAGGAGAGCGTGTTCTAGCCCTACTCAGTCGCCATCCCGGGCGCCTTCCCAGGCCTCAGTTTATCCTCCTGGGAAATGGGCCCAGGTTGCCGCCACAGAACAGAGTAAGGGGCGATAGGTCTGGGTAGGGTCACCCACCAGGGGCAGGCCTCAGTCACACGGGCTGGCTGGTGGGCAGGGGGGGCCTGGCTCCCCGACTCCACCTCCCGTGCCAGGGCCCGGGGGCGGGGTGAGCACGGTCTCTCTGTGGGGACCCCTATGGGGAATGGGGCGGCTCACACCCATCTGTCGCCGCACCCCAACTCACACTCCCAGAGAGCGACCGAGACACAGGGAAACTGAGGCAGGAGGGCACACAGACAGATGGGGGTGCGGGGCCGGGGGCGGCTGGCTCGCTCACCTGCTCTCCGCGATCTGCGCTCCGTCCGTTCCGGTGCTCACCAGGGACCTGCGCGCTTCCTTTGAGGCCGCCGCGGCCGCCCCACCAGCACAAGAGTCTGGGGGCGGAGGGCTCTGTAGGCCACGCCCTCCGAAGCCACACCCACACGGAGACCACGCCCATTAGCCTTCCCCGCCCCCGAGGAAGAGAGCGGCCAAGGCCTGGGCGGCAGGGGCGGGCCTAGCGCGCAGGCTCAGCCAATGGCAGCGTGGGCAATGTACAAAGAAGCCAATGAGAGCACGCCTCCGCGGGGGGGGGCGTGTCCTGAGCGGGACCGGAGGCTAGGGCGGGGCGAAGGGGCGATTTGTCCGGAGTCTACGTGCGAGGGCTGCGGCGCCGTCCTGCGGAGTTTCCTAGGGAAGGGAAGGAAGGAGTTGGGGTGCGGGAGGGACAGACCCTGACCTAGAGGCCAGGGGCCCCGCGGAGAAACATCACCACGTGGCTCAGCACGGCGCCGCCCCTTTGGGCTGAAGCGCGGTCCTAGCGGGGCGCGTGCGGTGCCAGGACTCCTGAGGCTGAAGCAGGAGGATCTCAAGTTGGAGCCCAGCCTGGGTAATTTAAGGCGACCATATCGAAAATAAATAGATTGAGGAGGGAGCTCGGTGCCAAGGCCTTGGGTTCAGTCTGCCCCAGGGTGGCAGATGAATCTGGGAGTGCGGCTTGGAGCAGCCCTCGGGCGCACGGACGCTGAACTCCCCACAGAGCAGCCCCCTCCAGCCGCGATTTCCGTGGGGTGCAGAGGGAGGATGCAGCTGTGCGCCCTGGGAACCGGGCCCTGGAGCGGCTCCCAGCTCTGAGCGCCATTTCCGGCCGCGCACCTGCCCTGCTCGGGGGTCCCTGTCCAGCTAGGGCCGAGGGGCGGGGCAGCCCCCACAGCTGAGCCCAGTCCTCCTCCAAGCAGCAAGACAAAAATGTGTGTGCTGAGTGCCTTTCTGACCCATGCCAGGGTGACCCAGGCACATCTTGACCTGAAGAGACAAAAAACAGTTTGACTGTTGCATTACGAAGGGGGAAACTGAGGCCTAGGGGAAGGGACTTCCTGAGGCCACACAGGCCGCGCCTCCCATGCACAGCGGGTCCCGTGCTCGCTGGAGCCCGGGCCTCCTGCCCTCTGCACTTTGGGGATCAATGATCCTTGTGTGTTTGCTTTTTTTTTGACAACCGTTTCACTGTCTAGTTCAGGCTGGCCTTGAAATCACTCTGTAGCAGAAGATGGCCTCGAACTTGCAGTGATCCTCCCGCCTCAGCCTCCTGAGTACTAGGATGACAGGCGGGCACCACGCCCAGCTAGGGATAATGATTCTTGCTCCCGGGTGGGTGACACTGCGGGCACTGTAAGGCACCAAACAGTGTCCCGGAGCCCCAACATTACAGCCCCAACCGTGACGATACAGCTGTCCCCCGACACTGCCCGGGGTCCCCTGGGCGCACAGTTGCCCCGGTTGAGAGGCCCTGGCTAGACTGACATTTCCACACTTCAGCCCCAAGCTATGCATCAGACAAGTGCTCGAGGTCGCCACAGAGCCGGAGCGGACTCTGGGCACCTCAGCACACGGGAGCAGCTTGTGCCGTTGGCCTGGGGTGGACACAGGCAGGCCAAGGCGGAGTGACCAGGGTGAGTTCCAACCCAGTTTGGGGCTGGGGTGTAGCTCAGTCGGGATCGCCTGCCTATCCTGAGGGAAGCTCCAGATCTCAGCCTCAGGACAGGGCAAAGAATTACCTCCTGATCCAGAATTCCATACTCGGTGTGCACTCAGAGATGCCCAAAGCAGGGGCCAGGGGACATGTGTATGGCTTTGTTAATAAGAGCGTTGTTCATGTTAGGAAAGCGGGAAAGAGCTCAGGAGTCCATCGATGGGGAAATGGATACACTCAGTGTGGTCTTTCCACACACTGGAATATTACTCAGCCAGGAAAAGGAGGGGCCTAAACTCACTGGAACATGGATGGACCTTGCGGCCATGCTGCTTGGGGAGGGGACGGGAATTAATATATGTTTGTTTTTGAGACAGGATCTCACTATGTAGCCCAGGCTGGCCTGGAACTCAGGGCTCCTCCTGCCTCAGCCTCCCTAGTGCTGGGATCACAGGAGTGCACACCGTACCTGGCCTGGAGACAGCGTTTCCTGGAGACGCAGGCTGAGTTTGGGGAGATAAGAAAGTCTGGGGTGTAACCAGTGCTGACTGCTGCACAGCAGCTCGATGGGGTACCTCACCATTGGCCAGTCCGGTGCTCTGGGAGGCTGAGGCAGGAGAATCACGGATCCCAGGCCACCCTGGGCAACTTAGCCAGACCCTGTCTCCAAATTAAAACAAAACAAAACTGGGGTGGGGGAGCCCTACAGCCGTGCCGCGAAACCGGGCTTCCCCTCCACGTGGGATCGGAAGGCTGAGGCTCAGGAGGGGTGCGTGGGAGTCACCCCCGACCAGGGCTCTTTCCTAAGGGGCAGGGGACTCAGGCCAAGCCAGGCTATGCCGGCGTCTCTGCGGATTCATTACTTTTCTGAAAAAATTCCTGAAGTTATAGGGGGCGAGGTTGCAATTTGAGCTCTCAGTTTGCAGAGGTTTCAGCCCACGGGGCTGCTGGGCTGGGCTTGGGGGTCACCTCAGGACTGGGGTCAGCCGAGAGTCGGGGCTCAGTGGGCTGTGCACAGGGCGAAGGTAAACGCACCCCAATAAGGCCCTGAGATCCCGGGTCCTGGGGTTCAGGACCGCGCCGATCCCGGCTTCGCCCAGCAGGGGGCGCGCGCAGCCCACGACCCAGGCTGGCGGGGCCCGGGCTCCCGGGAAAGGGTCGCGGGGCGGGCGGGGACCGGGGCCCACGGACCCCAGACTCACAGCCACCCCCGCAGGCCGAGAGCCGGCCACGCACCCCACGGAGCTGTGCCATCTGCAGCCAGAGACCCCCTTCCCGGGCCTCGGCCTCGAGCCTGCCTGGTCAGTGGCTCAGAGATGCCCCCCAAGAGCCCTGCACCCCGCCTGGGGCTGGAGCTGCTCCACCACGCTTGGGGAGCCATCTGTCCAGGCCCATCTGGCCTCCCCGGGTCCCTCGTCCCAGGCCTGGCCGGGGGGACTCAGGGCACTGTCCAGTGGCTGGCCCTTCCCGGGGTCAGGAGTCACCTTGGGGTCTGCGGCCCGCAGCGCCCCCCTGCAGGCCGCCACCATCCCCAGCTGCCCGGTGGAGGCTGTTTACAGTGTGGCCACAGACGCCAGCTGGCTGCTGCGCGTGGGAGGTGGGAAGCAGAGTCTGCAGAGAGAAATGACGCGAGTGTCCGCGGGAGGGCGTGGGTGCATGTGGCTGGGGAGAGGCAGGCCCATCTGCTGCTGACTCCTGGGGTGCTGAGCCCCCGTCGTCCCACTCGGGACAATAGTACCGGCCCTGGAGGGCGACCTCGGTCTGAGGCTCCTTGATCAAGCTGGGCCTGAAACCCCTGGGCTTTGCAGTCTCTGGACCCAGCAAAGAATATCCCTTTCATAGGATTCATAGGATACATGCAGGGTATTTAGGGCATTTATTTATTATTTTTGTCTTTTTGAGACAGGGTCTCACTATGCAGTTCACACTGGCCTTGAGCTCACTTTGTAGTCTAGGCTGGTCTGAAATTTGCAACGATCCTCCTGCCTCAGCCTCCCGAGTGCTGGGATTAAAGGACTACACCACCACCTCCAGCTATTTTAGGCTTTTAGAGCCCTTAAAACTGCATTTGTCTCTTTATTGCATTTCCTCAACTCCCCACGCCTTTGTGTGCCAGCCTTATGGCAGAAGATAAAGGACTCAGAGTAACCTAACCTCTCAGGCTGGGACTGCATGGGGCTCCTGGCCTGAGGGAGGGAGAACTCCACACGGTGAAGAGAGTCTCCAGGACTCAGGAGCAGGAAGGAGTTAATTTGTATGACTCTAGGTGGGCTGTGTGGAGGAGGGAGAAGGGGGTTTTGAAGGGTGAATAGGAGTTTTCCAGGAAGAACCACGGGCCTGAGGCTTAAGCCCAGCAGGAAAAGAAGCAGCCTCTGAAGAACTGCAGCAAATGGAGAGCTGCACCATGAACCCACCATCAGTTACTCAGTCATCAAACCTTCCCTTGCCTGGGCTCACATTCCTACAACCAGTTACCCTCTGAGTGACTGTGATAGAATCACTTACACCTGGAGCATCAGGTGTCTTGGTACTGTGCGCCCCACTGGTACTGGTTAGATGTCGCTGGGGTCAGGAGAGGCATCGTGCCTGCCCTCCGGAAACACCCTGGGCTCAGACTGGGGCTGCTGCACGCAGGGGGTCTGGTACTTCAGGCCTCTGGCCTTTTCCTGGGCGCAGACCCCAGGGCCTTTGCACCGAGCTACATCCCAGCCCTTTTTACTTTCCTTTTGAGACAGGGTCTTGCGAAGCGCCTAAATTGCCCAGCCGGGCCGCAACTGGAGATGCTCCTGCCTCGGCCTCCTGGCGCCAGGGTGACGGGCGCGTGCTGCCGTGTGGGGGAGGCGGAGACACGCGTGGCAATCCCGGCGGGGCGGGCCCGGGAGGAGGCCGCTTACCCAGCATGCCCGCGCGGGGCATGTCCTCACAGTCACCCGAGGCGCGGTGACTTCATCAGCTCGAGGTGGGGGCGCCCCAGGCGGGCCTGCGCCTCCCCCACGGAGCCAGCAGAGGGCGCTGTGGGCGACCCTTCCCCGGGCTCCCACCCGCCAACTCTGCCCCCCAGATAACCTGCCCAATCAGAGCATGACAGTTTCTCAGGGTGGCTCCCATTGGTCAGGGATGAGCCAATGACAACCCCATGATATTAGCTCGGCTCCTGGATTCAGCCATACCTGAAGCTATGGGGATTGCTTCCACCCATGACACTGGGCACCAATTTCCCCTTTTCTCTTATTATGGCAGTGGGGGTTCTCAAGCACTGGCCGAAGGATTTTGCCTAACGTGTAGGATCTGGGAATTTCTGGGTAACCACTGGGGAAAATCACCACGACCTAAGATTCCTCTCCAGGCTCTAAGCATCTGAAACTACAGACAGTAGCTTTGTTTTTTCAGTGTTTCAGTTGGTGGTGACGTCCTTCTGGGGTCCCTGTCACCCTAGGCTCAGACGCCATCAGGCAGTTCAGTTATTTTACTTTCTTCTAT